AAGAACAAGCAGGATGCACAAGGCGTAAAATGTCAATTAATACTAATACGAAGTGGTCGATACCGATATAGTCTGACTACAGCCTCGTCGACGATATCCACAGATACGCATAAATTCCAAATATGACAGTACACGTAAAGCCATGTAAAATTTATACCGTACCTGGCCACTTCTCAAAGCGTTTTTAAGATTGAAGGAGACTTTCTTGTGCTTAGCGCTTTGACTCGTTTTTTTCTTTTTCGAGTCTTCTCTGACACTAGTATAATTGCGTGACAAAATGTCAAGCTGCCTAAGGCTCTCGTTGTAACAAGTCGTAGTCGATGACCCACTGTACCGTAGGCGTGTAGCTGATGTGTTGTTTCCCGTGAGGGAAGGGGTCCTATCATGCCTTGGAGCCATATTTAGGGGAACGTCAACAACACGCGGCTCTAGTAATAATAATGAAAGAATAGAGTTTTCAGTTTCGTGGGGAGGGTATACGTATAACCTATCCACGAATGTAAGAGAAAAGCGTTCCAAGGCTTCCAACGGTGGCAGTCATTGTGTATATATATATATATATATATAGCTATAAGTTTTATTTGGTAAGTCAGGTGATAGCAATCAATGAATTTGACCATAGATAAAAATGGGATAGCTCTGAATCGCACAGGTCCTTAATTGATAGCCCACCTTTTTGTTTACACCCCGCCAACAAGTAGGGGGGAAAGGGAAATATAGGTCCCGTATGCGATTTATAAGCTGTGGATGGAATGAGCCCCATTTCTGATTTAGTACAATTTCATATTGATATGGTCGAAAGAATTTACTCTAGCGGCACACCTGCAATACCGTATTAGTATCGGGTAATCGTAAATGGATAGTAGAAATTGTGTTGCCATACAGTAGTTTGAGAAATAATTACTTGCCGGAAATATGTTCTGTGTGTCATTTATTGAAATTAAATTGAAATGTATATTTCAGGAGAATAACACCGAGTCGGAGAACGACAAAAGGTCTGTATTCCATTTACTCGACTGTGCTGCTCTGCCGGCTATTGTTATTTGTCGAAATAAAGTTATTTCGTGAAGTGCAATGATTATTCATTGTTGTCGGATTTCTGACGTATCAAAATTTTTCGATCACCTAATATGCTTCCAAAACCAGAAAGATTTATGTCGTACAGAAGGCTTAGCATTCAATGAAATAGTGACGTAGTGCAGGCCAAGGGGGACTTTCTATTTTTAAGAAAGAAATGAATGCTTTGAAAAATATTAGTGTGTAATAGTAATACTGTCGTATTCCCCACTGATAAACAGAATAAACAGGTTTGTTTCAGTATAGGCCCCAAGTTTTGACATTGATGTTGGTCCAGAACCGCAGTACCAACATGCCTTTATAGTATTAGTTGACAAATAAGAACAGTCAGGTGTAACTTTTATCATGAGACATTACTTGACCGAATCATGCAATTATTTCATTCGCCGATGTAGCTGCGGCAGCGTTATGTTTTTAATCAAGCGAAAATGAATATGAAAAGACTGCATCAAATTGAAGTGGATCTAACCTCAAGTGTCTTCACTCTGGAGCAAAGTTTTTTACTTTGTCCCTATCGATAAATCGTTCTGACATGCAATTAATACATCATTTTGAGCTCATCGGAGCGGTAGATTGAGCACTTGAACAATTCCTTTCAGAATTAGGTGACAATCAGCTTCATTGTAATATTATCTGCCATTCATGAATGCGATCAAAAGTCCATTGACTATAACCGCCTCATTTCATAATAATAATCACCAAGAACAGACTGAAAGCACTGTGGTAAAGTTACACTGGCGGACCAACATGATGATCCATAAGATTATTGACAAGTGCAAAAGAGGACAAGGGAAGATAATTCCAAATCTTTTTACGTTTGTTTTCCATTTTGTAAATACAGAAACATTGGTTGAGTGACAAGGATGTTTCAGATGCAGACATATGCTATACAGTTAACCTCTCTTCCAACAACAAATTATTGAGGAGAACAGTATAGTATATAGGTTTCGAATATTCATATACGATTACGGTGCTTACCCCCACTATCTTTTGTCCTTGATTTCTTTGATCAATTATGCGATTTTTTCTCTTTAAAACTAGGTGACCTTTCAATCTTGAATCAATTTAATCAATCTTCCCTCTTGCTTTGTAAGAATTTTATATCAGATTGCCTGAACGGCGGATGGTAAGTAAATTCATTGTTTCTGTGTTGCTTAAATAAAAATAGTGCGACTTGCACCGATTTGCGCCCAAAGACAACAAGTGTATTTTTAATAAAGAATGGTCGTACATTCGCTGTTTATATAACAATCACATGGACTAATATTAATTAAAATAATCATAGAGTTAAGATTATACTTTATTCAACATGTCACTGACGCAATAATATGTTGCAATAACAAATCGAGTAGCGGGTCACGACTTTGTCATTGTGATGATTGTAATATTAATCACGGATTAATAATTTGCTAATACCAACAACTAACTTTATCATTGTTATGCGTTTCCTCCTACTTCGAAAATATAAAACCAAAGAACTTTAGAAACAAGCATAAATTTCCATTTTCTAAGAGAGTTGCACGAAGGAACGCATTAGTAACATAAAGTCAAGAATGAGGATATTGAGCAATTTAACCCGCGTATAAAATAGCTGTACTTATTACGAGTATACTTTCTGGTCTCGTATAATAATTTTTTTTGAAAACTTACTGAAGAAGAAAAACTTTATACAGTATATTATTGCAAAAGGATAAATTTATTACGATCAAGGCTGTAGATACAATGCAGTCGTCAAAAGTGACGGTTGGTAATTTGTCGGTTAACGTGACATTGTTACAGCAAAACAAGTCTGATTAACGTTGACACTTTGATCTAACAGACTTCATATGTTCCGAGATAAATATCTACCGTATTTCTTTGACTAAGTACTCTCCGAGCAATCTACTTTTCAGTAATTTAATTTTTGGGGGGTATAATCTCATATTAATATACAATTATTTATAGAGAAAATATTTTAAGAGAGTGCAAAGATGTTTTAAGGTAACAGCTTGCGGATTATTACATATTAATATTCTCAAATACCGAATTGCGCTTTGCAAACAGTGCTGTTGACGTTTGTTTACTTGTCTTATTATTTTTTTATATGTTTTTTTGTTTTGTTTTGAAATATGCCCAGGCATTGCGTGGAGGAGGCTGAAAAGTTTTTGCGCCGCGGACTTTTACATTGACGTTCATGCGATATTGCAGACGATCCTGCTAAGTTTGGAATTACTTGCTTTTGGGGGTGTTTTCAATAACTGTTCTATTCGAGAAATTACGGAACACGGTCTGAGACTGTATAAGAAAGTTTCACTCGTTTATTATGACGATACTCCGTCACGATCGTTGTCTTATGTCGTCCAAGCATTGTCGTGATGATGCATGACGTCACGAAGTGTTCTTTCCTTTCCATGCAAAGTGTGGGAAATTTTCACGTGTCCAGACCATCATTAGGAGTTCCCAATACGTATCTCGCAATATCCATGCCATTTTGAGGAGTATAAGTTCTATAAATTTGCCAATTTAAATCTATTTTAAAAAGCTTATCCTGTTATTATCGAGATTAAAACTTTAGTTTTTTAGACTTATAGAATCCGTAATAGTAACAGGGTATGTGGAAGAATTATCTACTAGCGACCGCGCAACAGTTATCGTACTGGGTAAGAACAAAAAGTTGATGACGAAATATAATTGTGTCGGTGTTATTACTAGACGGTATTAGTTTCGTATTATTTCTCGCTTAATATTAATGTATTCCAAAATTGTAAAGGGTTTGTTGATGCCAGAAAGTTGTACGATTTTTAGACGGCAATTCATAAACTATAGGTATAATTATTTATTTCTCTTGCGACGAGCTGATATACATATATCAAAGCGTATGTGGAGAGACATTAGAAGTTTTATGCGATGGTGCGAATTCAAGTATGAAATTATACAAAAACCTCGAATTTGATTAGTCGGGAAAAAGATGGCAAGCATGTGTCTTATTCAACAGAAGGGATAGAATGTACAGTATGTATCATCCAATTGTTTCAATTGTCAAGCAGTCGGCTGAGCGTTACAAATTTTTATGAGAATGCATTTTATCTTATTCAATAATCGGTTCATAACCGCCGGAATGTTTTGTTTTTTCAGAAACTCCATACATAGCAAGACACTCGTGTGTTGTCTTGCTGCAGTCTCCATTTACCTCCAAGCATCCTATTTACTTCCGGCATATATTACTAAAGCATTTTCACATAAATTTGGTATCCATTACCCTTCCGAAGCAAAATAAGCTTGTTGCTTTCCGACTACACAAATCTGCCCCATGCAAAAACTTTTATGCGTGGGAGAAATTGGCCGTCGCGCGTAATCCACCGTCTCTTTTTCTTTTTTATGATATCATAAATAGTAAAAAGTGGAATGTGTTGGTCGGCGATGAATTTCTGGTTAAATATCGATTTTTAGGAAAATTCACTTGAAGCCATCCAAATTTTTTGGCACCCTATTTTTACGGATTGGAGGTCGCCAAATGTCCCAAACGGAAGTAAAATAACAAATTACGCATGGAAGTGCGCGCGTAAAGTTATCAGATAATTCTAGCGACGACACAAACATGATTCCATCGTCACTCGATACCAAAAACTGACCCAGGAACCCTACATCGGCTTTACTAAAGAAAATATTGGAGAATTAACACAGTGTTACAAATTAAAAAATTTAATTGATATCGAACATCTCACTCGACAACAGTTGTATTAAGAGAAAAGAAAATACCCACAAAGGGAAGCAATTATGTAACTTTTATGAACAATCACCCAAGAATTTTTTATTTTTATAACTTTCACAGATAAGTTAAGGTCTTAAATCAGCTAGCTAAAGGTTAATTTGATTAGCGTTGGCCGCTTAATTGAGAGATGTTTGTTGTTTTTTTGCTAAATGGCGTGTTTAGCTTGGTATTAATAAGCAGCGTTATCACACCCTTTAATGGAAAGTCTGAGAATCTCAAGTGTGGGAATCAAGGCGTTGCATGTATACAAGAGATTGCTATGAAAGAGTGGGCAATGCTCTCTTTGCCTTTTGCCCTTGGTGCTCGATAAGTTCTGTTATTGACCGAAGAAACTCTTGTCTGGTTTTAAAAATAAGTTGCGATATTTCAAAAAAGTCTGTCAAGCTCAACCCTAATCATTGTAACTTAATGTAATTAAAATCACAGGTTTAACAAAAATGCCTGGCCCTGACGATTGGATTCCTAGTATTGTCCAAGGTTATCGGACTCCTATGCCTCCTCCTCCTACACCAAATCCCGTTGAAGGGGTTCTTGCCGCAGGTAGCGGTATCGGTTATATTATCACTGCGATCGCTTTTTTTATTAAAGCGAGTGGACGAGACTAAATGTGATCATCGCTACTTACCGGTATTAAGCTAATGTTATTATACTTACGGTATTAGTATTGGGAGTTGTTCTCGCGCTTCTTCATTTGATTACTTATTAAATTGCACTTTTCAAAAAATTTTAATCTTTATAAAGTCTAGGCTGGATTTTTTTCTTATTTCAGCTCTTATTTTTTGGGAGGGTTACTTTGATTTTCTATCCAAACGCACTCGACTGTTGTCGCTAACGCTGTGTTCACTTTTAAAAAAAAATTTTTTTTACTCTTGGGTTTCTTTGTTTTGTTATGTTTTTTGTAACTATCGCTATGGTTGCTGTGACGAATAAAAGTTGAGTTTTAAACATAAAGTTGGTAAAAGTGCTTGACTTGATTTGACTTAAAGACAATCGATATAAAGGCCGACTAATATGCCATCCGGGAGTAAAAGCCTCCTCACTATGACTTCGAATTTGTTAAAATATATTATCCAAGTTCAGGAATTCCTGTTTAATATTAACAGAGAAGATTAGGTCAAAAACCCCCATTCGGATTACTGATTAAAAGTTTGCTGTGGTCTTTAATATTGTGCTTACAACTTAAATACATGATAATTGTTTTTCTTTAGATAAGGTAAACCCTCATCCGACTTTTAATATCTCGTTTGAGAAGAATTAAAAAAAAAGAAAAAGACAATTATTGTTTTCTCAACTAAACATTTCTTCCTCTTGATAATTTGGTATTTGATTTTATAAATGCATGGAGCAGTTTTATGCTTTTAATAGTGATGTTCCATAATTATAATGGAAATTTTGTATTTCTATAATTGATATTTTTTAAATGTTTGCCTCGATCAAGTTGAACTTCGCAGCTAATGAATAGCAAATGTCATAACCCAAGCCAATTAACCTTTAGCCTCAACATTAAGAAATGTCATGAAATACAGTGCAAATATTAATATTAGGAGTTACAAGTAGCTAAATGGGTCACTCGTTTAACAGTCCGTCAGCTGTTACAATAATATATAGACCGCAAATACAAAGTGATAACATAGTACACATGCCATATACAAAATTTTATCATTATAGTTGTGCAGTTCGGTCGAGTATGAAAAGGTCACGCATTCTTTGGAGTCGAGTCACAATTCTAGTACCGAATTTGTGAGACATTTAAAGTACTAAATTCTGCTAACGTTTTTAAAACAAAAACGCGTATCAATATCAACCGCTCTTCCTCTCACTGAACATTACTCGGATGCCACGAGCCTTAATTCCACAGTTTTATATATTAATATCGCTTTAAAATCTTAAAATACGGTCGTAATTCCTCACTTAATTATTTTGACGTCATCTTTCTATATTAATATTAATATACCTCTCTCTAAAGTGTATTCCAATTTTTGAGCAAACAAGACGGTTTTGACGCAATGTAATTTGACGCAAGTTACTACACGAATACAAACGACGAGGCTATTTTGTCAAATTCTTAACCTCATTGATCTATGGATTGGACAAAAATTAGTTTATTTAATTTACATTGCAATTATCGCAAAACCAAAATAATAACCATCTAAGAATATCTCAAATTCATGCAAGCAATGGGGGGGCCTGTGCGCACTTCATGATTATTTCCGAACTGTTTCTATAATTTTCAGCAACCTTGGATGATTTCAGTTGTTCTATTATTAAATACGTGCTTAAGATATTCAGTAGGGGACGACAATCCGGAAGACGAGTAAGAATTCTCTTGGTGGACCCTAATTTTCTCGTGGATGCCTTTAAACAATGATCGTGGTATAGTAGAACGCGAGCTTTTGTTAATAGACTCATAGAACATTTCCAATAACAATTAAAAGCAATCAGAATCATGTTACTAACAAGGTATCTATCCAGACTCATTCTAGTATACTTCCACCCAAACTGATCGTAATCAGATAGGTCCTTCACTTTTGCATCTTCACTCGTGGCCTTATCCTCAGCATGACAAATAATGTTGCCGCTCCGGTATCCTGTTAACCTGTTATGCCTGTTTCTGTTAGATAAAACAGTGCTCCTTGAGGCTGGGGCTGGAAGTGTGACTGTCATCTTGGAATCGTCAGTAGAGGTTGCCAAAGATGATGTGATGGATTCACCCGTTGTACGTGATGAAAATGTCATTTCGCTGAAAGGTGCCGATGACTCAGCATGTGGAGACGGATCAGGATACTGAAATGAGGGCATTACGATTGATGACGAAGACATAGTTAATAACTCAATATCACCGCCACCTCGAGCATTTCCTCCATCATTTCCATTTCCGCCATTTTGCGACTTCTTATAAACCAGTGATCCCAGAACTATGCCAACTAGTAATACTATGCTAGCAACTGTAATTCCAGCAATCTTTGCAGGAGAAAGCCCGTTAGGAGGAGGATCGCCTGGGCTTGTAGAAGGATTGCCTGGGCTTGTAGAAGGATTGGGATCAGGAACACCTGAAACAGTGAGAACACCTTTCATTCCTTGCTGACAGTGAGTACTGACATTGCAGTAAAACCATATCTATAAAAACAGGGAATGAGTTACAAGTTACATGAGATCGATGCACGCCTGGCACAAATGTTGTTAGTTACCTTGGGCTTGTCGGCCGGGACGGTAAACGTCCACGATTCACCAGCTTTCATTTGCGTATTGAATCCACCAGCGGCTGGAGTGCAGGAATCGGCACTAGCACTTTGAACTACACTGTGCTGAATGGTATTAATCCATGCGAAGGTTATGATAGAGCCAGGGGCGGCCGTAATAGCAGCCGGATTGAACTTCAGACCACCCTCACCCACATTTATAGTTAAATTCTGGCCAAATGTAGTGACTATAAGAGCAGTCGCAAGCAAGACTGTAGCGATGGTGTACTTCATTGTCGGGGGTAGTAAATGAATGTATTAGGTATATGAAAGGTGGGAGAATGGTCTAACCGGTAGACACATTAACATGCGAGTAGAAGTATAGAAGACATCTTCAAGTCGAGGCGATCTCGGCCTTTATATGAATATTAATGTCCATCAATAGGCAAAGTTCTTTCCATAACAGTTAAAGATTCAATGAGAATTTGTTAGCCAAAATCGTCGTCAACTTGTGTCACATATTTAAATATACGCTGCGCATATTGTAAAACACGTAGTATTGACGAGCATAATGTTTGAGTAATAATCTCAAAGATACGATATTGATTATCTTCATCTACACGTAATGGAAAGAGTACTAATGTGAGGCAGTAATATTTAATATAATAAGCGTTTAATGTCATTGGAGAAGAAATAGGTGATTGTGAGTTTCAACAAGATTACAGACAAACAACTTGACAACCAATGGCCAGGACAGAACCCCGAGTCTAAACGAAACCATTGCCACTATGCGAGAAGAAATCGTCTGCGCGTCTTCAAGAAGAGAGAGAATTTTCCAACTGCAACATGCAAATACGTACAGCAAAACACGTTTAACGTCGCACAGTAATTCATTGTCATCATTGTGTTAAAAATAATATGTCGTACGACGTTAAACGTGTTGGATAAGTTACAAATATCAGTTTTGTCATCGTTTGACCTATTAATTAAGCAAACTATGCCATTTAGCAATAGAAGCCAATTAATACTCCCACCGTGATGCTAAACATATTAATATAGTCAAACCTGACCAGGTAACGACTTTATGCGAAGGCGTTGTGCATATGATAGAGTAGACACTGCAATATGGTAGAAGGTTATTATACCACAGTGATATATACCGATATATGAGCGAATCATGTAATCCCGTCTTACGTTACTCCTTCAAAGACTGCCTTTGCGCCACATCCCGCATTTCTCAAATCTATCCTCTCCCGAATATCGTTTAGATAAAATGTCGATATTTATTCCAGACTTGCAGCATATTTCTGGTTGTCCAGCGATGGACCAACTGATTTTAGATTCCAAAACTTTTTCAAAGTCACATCCTGACATGGAACGTTACCGCCTTCAATGGTTTCCTCACTTTGAGTTTAAGAGTATAACGCCCATTCAAAACCCTATCGATAAGTTTACCCACAGTGGTGATTTGATTACCATAACAGTGTCCCTAATGCTACTTGAAACCAATGATAAATGCACTGATGAATTCATTCAAGAGATTGCTAGAATATATTCACTTTCAACGAGTAGACATGGAAATTACGATCACTTCAAAAGGTTTCCAATATGGCTCGAAAAGCGCAATGATTATATATATGGATTTACTAACTTTGAAGGAAATTACTATATGGTAGTTTGCGAATCTTTTTCTCGTTATTATGTACAATACGGATTTTGCTCCGTGTGTGGAACACTCAGATGCAGTCCTGTATGGTGTATCTGCGGTCATAAGGAATTGATAAACGCATGGACCAGCAACAATGAAATGGTTGATGAGATTATTAAGCACTCACAAAGACAAACGGTGTCAGCAAACGAAGCCTATCTAGAATGGATTCCTTTTGATAGTTTTTTTTACTTTCAACCGTTCGCGTATGCTAGACCTCGTGCTGAGAATTCTAGTAATCGGCTGTTTGCTCGTTTGCTCGATCTGCCATGTGTTACGGAAGTAGAACTAGTTCCATTTCAAGCATCAAAATATACTGGTTATTCATGTTATCATAAGGTAAATGCTTTCCTCTGCTATATAATAATAACGTTAAATGGCTCAATTCATATGTTTAATTTTTATAGTTATGTGCTGATCATCCAGGCATACTCGACAAAAACGTATGGGTTATTGTTGGATTTACATATGACCCCAAAATGCAAAAATACTATTTAGTTAAGAATAGCAATCCATACAAGGATGAATTATATGGGTTGTGTCTGGCATGTACGGACGATTTGGACCCTTACATAGGCGCATTTTGCTTTAATTGCAAAGCACCAAATCCGCTTGATTGGACTACTGGCAATAAGTCTTTGGATTTACTAATAATGAAATCTTGGAGTAATACTGTTGATAAACATGACAGCTATATACGATGGATAGAATTCTCTCATTTAACAGCTATACAAGAAATGCCATTACTAGATTATGCATGCACACATGCAGCAGACTGCTTAGGACGACTATTCGCAGTTAGTAGAGAAAATTTGGTAACAATAAAAGTAATGCTCAAAAAAGTTGTTTGTGGACATGATGCAGATTCTTATGATTTCAATCAGGTAATATAAATACAAACTTTGTCTTGATATTAGTATTATAATACTCCTGTATTAGTATTAAGCTAATTCTAATCGTTTTTTTGTTTTTTGCACAAATAGTTGACGAAAGTTTATCCCAATATATTGTCGCCACATAATATTCATATTTTTGGCATCACTCGAGACCCATCTTTGCAAGACCATTATTTGGTGTTCTATTCCAATGTACGCCAAGTCTTGGATAAACTTATACAAGTTATAAATTATCGGTATGAACTAAAATTTATGGAATTTGCTGAATTTAATGAACTTGAAGAGGTTGGATCTGGTGCTTATGGAACAGTCTACACTGCTAACAGCACTAGCTTAAATAAGCAAGTTGCTTTAAAAAGGTTTAAAAATTCAAATGAAACACCAGACTTGTTCATTTCCGAGGTAGGCTTTCTGGTACTGTCAGCAGTTTTAATAATACAAACTGACACATATATTTTTTAGTGCAAAAATTATAGCAAGTGTTGTCCTGATGAAAGTTTTCTTAAGCTTTATGGAATTACACAACAGCCGGAAACAAAAGAGTACGTGGTTGTGATGCAGTATGCCAACGAAGGCAATCTTTTTTCTTATATGGATCGAAATATTAACAAAATGACATGGAAAATGAAAGCAAGACTCTTAGAGCTTATCGCAAATCAGCTAAATACAATTCATTTTTCGTCATTAATTCATTGCGATCTTCATGGCGGGAACATAATCTTGAGCAAAACAACAGACAACCCTGAGTTGAGCACGCCATACATATGCGATCTTGCACTCTCTATACCGAAAAATTCGCCCGAGTCGAGCGTCTCAGACATCAAAGGCGTATTGCCTTATGTTGCACCGGAAGTCTTTCGTACGAGAAAATTCACTCAGGAATCAGATATTTATGCTTTTGGCATGCTTATGTACGTGATTGCAACTGGTGAGCCACCTTTCAGGGATAGAATATTTGATGAACATTTGACAAGAGATATCTGTAATGGGCTGAGGCCAAAAATGCCTGAATCCGTGCCAGAAAGATATAGACGACTCGCTGAAGATTGTTGGAACGCAGATCCGAAAAAACGTCCTAATACATGTTTACTCGGTTTTGCGTCTTATATGTTTACCGAAGGCGACGATAAAGAGGGTTGGAATACTGTCTATCGTAATGATGTAAGGCCTTTATCACGCCTCGAGAAAGAAAGCAAATATTCTAGCAGGTTGCTACTCGCAGAAATTTGCCCAAACCAAGAAAATGAAAGTGACTCTTATTGAACTAATTTGCAAGTTGTATGTTCAATAGTTTAAGCGATGGAAGTGGAAACGAGTTCGAGGGACTTATTCGATGATTACCTTAGCTATCATGAAGGACCTACTCTTGAAGCTGAAAAACCAGCGAGTGCAATAGTTATAGATCATTAATTTAATTGTAATACAATAATAGTATTAGTATTAATATTAATGTCATGTAGAATATAGTATTTCTAAAATTGTTATGGTTCGATGTAAAAAGACAACGTCTCAGATTATTGCAAATAAAATTTTATTGAAAATTTACCCTTGGAAAAATATATATATATTTTATCAGTTTCCTCGTTAGATAAATATCCATTATCATTATCTTGCATTGTCAAGAAATTTTGTTAAAACACCGCGTTTAATTTTGTTTACAATAGTAATAGTAATAATATCAATTTCGCAGCTGGTCAAATTTTTGTGCTCTGTCAATGAATGGTGAGCCTAAACTTTTTCACTGATCATTCTTTTTATTTTTTGGGACAATTCCATATTAATATGGAATGTCGAGGCAGGCAACAACGAACACGCAGTTTTTCAGGATGACGTTACATGATTTTTTCCCTTTACTTCGGTCATTATGTCTCACAATGCACTACTACCGCGTTTGGAAGAAAAATCAAATAAAATGCGAGCCGTTCATTGCACTTGTCAACGAGATCGAATGGTGTCGATAACTACTGTGGTATTGTGCTGGGGCTTATAGATTGTCAAATTCACAAGTATTTGCAGGTGGTAAATCCATCTGTTGGAAACCCTCTTTGTAATATTCATACTTATCAAATTTTGCAGAATTCCGGTTTAGAGAGAGCTTGAACGGCTTCATGCAACTTTAATGGCTCAATTAAAGGAAGTAGACGATGGCGCAATAAGTACTAGCCCAACGTCTGAAAAGACACGCACTTATAAAAGAACTTGTTACTGTTGAAATTGCGATGCGGCCCTCTGGTCGCAACGAATGGAAGTGTCGTGATAGAAAACCAAAATAACCAACATAAAACCGTTGGTATCGACGTGAAGGATCTTCTTGAAAAATTCGTGGACTACCAAAAATGTCAATCGAATTACGCAATAGCTTACATGATTGCCAGCCGAAAACGAGTTACAAATGGTCTATCGCGATTTTATTACACATTGAAATTGTTAAAATATGACACATTCTATAAGTTATGCCACCAATTAACGCTTCTATTCAAGGCATGAGTCCCAAGAACGAATTTATGTGCACGCTCGACAAAAGTTGTCATCAGAGACATGTGCCTCTAATGCTAAATTAAAGATCAGTCGCTCTGCTAGTCTGCTCCATATAAAAAACAATGGCATAATATGTCACGTGCAATCGGCCAGTATGGTCGCCAGAACCCTTCGCCACGAAATTGGCTAATGGCGTCCTTAGATAGATATAATCACAAAAAGGCGTTTATACAAGAACAAATACGAATTTTTAAACAACCATTCAAGCCTTCGTCAAAATGGTTAACACCAAAGAAACACAAGGACCGCGAGGGTGACGAGGACGACGATAACGCCATACCACCAAGCGTTATCAATTCTGTTGTTGTGAGGTGTAAGTGTTTTGTGGTTATCTACCAATGCAATATGTCTCGTTTGCCTGATCCATTCTGTATGTAGTAAACACGGCAAATAAAAAACAGTATCTTCAGACATTCAGCCACCAATCCGTTCGCCAATTGTTAGAGCAACTTCAATCACTGTACGATCAAAAGCGTCGGGACGCTTTGCTTGGGCGTATCCGCGTGGAACGACTTGAGGATTTTGATAGCCTGAGGTAATGCAAGAATTCGATGTTGGGGTAGGAAGGTGGCACGAGTCAAAAGAGCGTGTTATAATCTGGAATTTTAAAACTTCAGTTGGATAGATTCATTCCCATCACAATGGCCCATAGATGAGGGTTACGAATATGAACAGTCAAAGTTGGAGAGGTAACATCAATACAAAAAGTAACGGAACGTTTGCTAGCTTATTGATGATTATTTATTTAATATATTGTGTTTACAGATACGCTACTCTAAGGTCGCAGGTCTGTAAATTGGTAAAAGATTATATAAAAATGAAACAGAGATACGAAAATTACAAGGTATTGTTTGGATGCCTGCATAAAAGCATATACCAATTCGAATATTTATCTAACTACTCCCAAACTTTAGTCGCTTAACGATTTAGTAGCACCTCTTAATAAACGGAACATTCAACAAAACCTAATCACCCGGAATGCTCCAATTGTAAATGAGATAACAAGGATGCGTATCTTTGGTAAGTAAGTTTTGAAATTTTCAATAATAAATATTATTACAACCGCATTGAAATTTTTTACTACTGTTTAGTGCCGAGGCTGTTGAACACATTGCAGAAACACGAAGAGTATTTAAGAAGGAAACGTGCGCGTAAATCAGGTAACTTGGAAATAGCAGACTCCTATTAATATTTCATGTAATCCACTAAATAGTTCATTTGTATAATAACTTTTAGAAAAGCGAGGGAGTGAACAAGACATTTCAACAATGGCAGTTGTGAAGGGTTTATTCAACTCTCGCGAGTGAATGTGTTAACATGTTACAGTCAAGCAAAAACCACATTTGAGCTTACAGATTCTGATAGTTTGAAGGGTAAATGACCCCTATCAAAAATGAGCAGATATGTGGGTAATTATTAGATGTACATATAAGAAACATTAACTTGTCAATATGGCATGTCTCACTGTATTTGATTTCAAGTTTTCCAACTTGTACACATCACTTCTTGTTGTACAATTACAGAAAATGAATAAACAGTCTTTTATATTGTACAAAATATCTCTTTTAATCTCCTTGCCAAAATACGCTATTTTCCAGATTCTGTCGGGCTTTCCTTGAAATATTCAGCGCACAATCTAGCGTAGACATTCCCGGCTCATCCATTAGCGACAAGCCTGCAATTCCCATGTATGCATGCATTATGTCTGAAGGTAAAGACTGCGTTAGTAAGTACATTGGAATGCGTTGGATGAACGCTCTTTTAACACAAACGATTAGCATATACGAACCGGGTATCAGATCGGGCCATTTTGAGAAACCCCCCTGACGACCCTGGGTAGTGGAGAGAAAGAGACGATTGGCCTCTTTATCAATATAATCAAATGCACCCAAAATCTTTAAATCAAAAGACGGCTATTAGTTTCAGTGTTATTCAATGACAAGACACATGTGATACTACACACATACACACGCACGGGGAATGTTGATTCGTTAACAGTAACTAGCAACCGTTCCGTTCCGTATGTTTCCTATGCATAAATTTTCTTACTATTTTAAAACTAATAAATGTTCTTCGAACAACTATATTCCATAGCTACCGAGTATCAATGAATGTCCGAGACAAGTTTGAACAAGTTGGCATGGAGGGCAAGGATTTAGTTTTGCAACAGTATGCAAAGTGTTGAATGTAAAAACTTAAGATTGAAAAGGTGTCGATTTACATTTGCAATTTCCTGTGCATGTGCATGTGCATCTCTTGCAATGACCAGCTAACTTTCTTTCCCCAATACCTTCAATGAAGCACCAATCCAGAAAGAGTAACATGTGTCTTCTGGTTTGTTTGCACGTCCTTGAAATCCAGACACTTGACGTGACAACAGCCAAAATATTGTCCTGTCCTTTGATATGAGTCCTTCATCTATCTTATTCAACAGACTCAACGCACTTATTGCGCAATACGTAGAACCTCCTGAGATTAACTTAACCTTAGACGATCAGTCTTAAGTAACGTTTGGCAATTAAGCGTAATATAGTTGACTATGCTCACCATGAGACTCTAATCCTGGCTTTTGTCCTATACCATAGTCATATCCCTTTAGGTATATACATTTGTTATTAAATAATTTGCAATGAACGGAGTATGGCTCTGCTAAAGGTTACCTGGCTCCGCCTTATGTAGTCTACGCACTTTTCAATATTGATACCACTGAAATCTTTCAGCATATAGGATATAGCACAAGCGCAATACAAGAACCTCATATCCGATTCCATTCCATGATAAGTCTGAGTAAAGCTATACATAATCAAAACATTTGAGTTCATTGTTCCGCATCTGTGAGGAACAGCGACTGGCATACCTTCCATCGTCCTTTTGTAGATAAGTTAGCCCATTTATGATGGCGCCCCGATCTATTCTAGAAAAATCATCTCCGAGAATGAGAAGACTACATAGAGCCGTATACGTCATTGCTAGATGAGCTGCGTCAAATGGAAATCTCGATTCACGACACTTGGACGAGATAGAGTAATGGTGGAAAAGTGAATACATAAACACAACTACGTTCTGCATTGCAAAAAGACTTACTCCTTCCCGACTGTAAGGTAACCCTGAGAACGGTGAACCGCGAAATCCACAAATATGTCGATTTAATTCTAACCAGGGTCGAAGAGATTGGAATTTTAGTCGGGGAACATTCGATCTCAACAAAGTGTTCAAGAGTTTACCTGGATTGTCCTTATCTGGAAGAATCTGTTGCGCATATATCCAGTCGATCCACTGTTCTCTTTGTTCTGCTGAGTAGATTGTCTCTATCATATTTAAGAGGTCTAATCCGCCAAGACCGAAGAAGGCAAGTGTCATTCTGGGTAATAATATAACCTGTTTGGTTTAATTGGAACAACCAGTGCATTCCATATCTTACAGGATAAACTAGATGTTTACCTATTCGTATCGTTATTTGTGTATGGCTCAGGAAGATAAGCCATACATCGTTTAAAATACATGACATGCTTGTCTTTATCAAATGTTATATTCGAAGTAGGCAACAAATCCTCTGTCAATGGATCATCTTCCAGCGCATCATTTTCGTTGTTACAATCGGTTGAGGCCATTTGGCCCGATATAAACGAGATATTTTGAATCATCAAAAAGCGGTTCAACGTTAAAGATCAGCGTTAGATCACGTGATTTGGTATAAGCCTGTACACTTTTATTATTATTATTATATCGGTGTCTAACATCGCCTATCTTACACATCCACACACACCCCCACATATATACATTTATTCCTGTTAACCTTTACAATTCCCTTTGCCTTTGTAATTTTACAATCTATTTATTGAGTAATTTCTTCAAAGCATCAAGTTCCTCTCTCAATGAATCCGATTTGTCAACTTTTTCCTGCTGTTCAGGCAACAAAGTTTCACCAAGATCAGCCTTTTCTTTAAGTTTATCGATTTGTATAAGCTTCTTTTCCAATGTCCTGATCTTTCTTGCTATCTCAATTTCTGTTTGCGGTTTGTTTGTTAGTGTCTCGCCACTTTGTTGTCCATCATTGCCCTCACGTAAATTCAAAGCTTCCAAGTTTTCAGTGATCGCACCAAGATTCTCCTCTATCCGATCATCTACAGTGCTTTCATTCTCCCTTGCCTCTTTCTTCTTTTGCCTCCTCTTCTCATTCTTTTTCTGTGCTGGTGTTTTTGGCTCCTCTCTTTTCGGAGGAGGTGCGGCTTGTTCTTGACGTTTTCGAACGTGGCGGTTCTGGTATATTTGGACGTCTTCTTGTGGTACATAACCAGCACGAACTCGACGTTCTCTGCGTACTGAGCCATCGGCCCGGCGACTGGAGGGAATAAGTCGTTCATTCGTTTCAGTAGTGATTATACCTGAAGGCGTAGAACTTGGTTCTGAAGACATGGGTTTAAAGTGAAGGTTTGGCGAAAGTGCGCAGATATATGGATTTTGATTCTTGTGTCACATTCTTGTCAATCGCCAATAAATAGGTTTTTCTTTCGACCTGGATCTATAACAACTCAAATGCCTCGTCATAGCAAGAATAATACAGCCCTTTCGTTCTTTACTTATGCAGAGAGCCAGGCCCTCGATTATGGCACCAAGAAGGTACTGCTGTTTAATTTACTTATTTTTTTTAAGTCGATTCTTGGTAGATCCTTACCAGTTCTCGATGAATAGCAACGTCTAGGTCGCGATTCAATGCGCAATTTTGACGCTTGCTTTTTATGTCTACAACGTGCACGAGATCCAGTGTGCTGTTCACAAGGACACTTATACTGTAAGGAATGCATATACGAGAACCTGCTTGCACAGAAAAAGGAGATAAAAAGACAACAGACATTATTAGAGATTCGACAGAAGGAAGAAGAGGAAAAAGCAAAAAGGAAAGAGGACGAAGCCAAGGAAGCCGTGATCTTGGATTTCGAACGACAGCAAGTGAGAATTGCACCATTATCTTCAAACAAAAAGAGTCTGAATGTAACCGAAGCAGACATAGACAAAAATGCAGCATCTGATACTCAGACTAGAGCTGGGACTAAAAGAAAGATTGACGAAACAGAGGATACAGTCGAAGGTAGATCTCCAGACTCTAGCTCGGTTCAATATAGTACAAACGAGAGTTAGATGATAAACATGTCTATTACGTACGTAACATGTTCTAGGAAGCAACAAAAAACGAAATTTTTATCTTGATGGGGATGAACTTCGGGCAATTGCTCAACGGGAACATGAGGAGGCACTGAAAAGATTGGAAGAAGAGAAGGTGAGTGGCGTTTGTACAGAATGCTATTCAAATACGTTAGCTGATACTTTTACCTGTTACTAGGCAGAAGCTGCCAAGCCGAAATTGCCCAACTTTTGGTTGGTGAGTAATGTTTCTGCGGAAATATTATCAGTGACGTTTGTATTTGGTGATTATTAATTTTTTTTTCATTTTAGCCTTCGCTTACTCCATCTGCTGATCCAGACGAGGTTCAAACGATTAAATTGCGAACTGTTTGTACCGCCAGTGATCCTGAACATCCTATAAGGTTTTTTATGTTAAGCTTGTTCATTGAATATGAATATTTCTTAAGCAAGCTTGTGAGTAACTGCTGTGTAATTACCTGAAAACAGTATCAAAGCACTCATTACGACCAAATGGACCGAAGTGGAAGATGCAAATTCAAAATCATTTGTCTGTCCATCGTGCCGCCGAACTTTGACAAACACGATAAAAATATCACGTGAGTATATTCTAATTCTTGCTGGCAATAGTGATTTTGAACTAGTCATTGATGCAGTTATTTCCCCTGCAGTTATGAAACCATGTGGACACGTAATATGCAGTTCGTGCGTTGATAAATTTGTAAAAAAATCAAAAAAATGTTTTGTGTGTGATGTAAAATGTAAAGACAAAGATGTAATTGATATGTCGGGTGAAGGTAAGTACATTATTGCCTTTTGCTTATTGAGTAAAACCCTGCTGGATGTTCATTACATTTACGCATTTCGATTCTAGGCACTGGATTCGCGAGTGGTGGTGGTAAAGTTGTTGCTCGAAAGTTTGATGTTGCATTTCAATAACCACAAGGCCTTTTACTTCAACTGAAGAGAAGGACAATTTATGTTAGATGGATTTGGACGCAATTACTGTTAAGTCGTCTAAAATACTGAACATTGACGTCATATAGAGAAATGCATCCATAGATACGGTGTTTAATAATTGAAAATTAGTTTACATATGTTAACATGTTTTAATATTAATGCGTTTGTCAAGCAAATGTGGACATTTTGATAAAATGCATCAGAAGTGTACGTTTTAGGGAACAATTTCATTTAATGTGTCTTCAAATTAATAATTCATCCCGACATGTCAATGTATGGGAACTGAGACATCGTTGGATTTGTTAGATGACCAGGTGGAAATCTCAATGTCGATTTCTTTTAATTCAGAGATAATATTAAATATTCCTTGACCATTTATTCCTATCTATGAAGAAACCGATGTTGCTCTGTCAATATGACACATATGAGCGTGTATCTTATATCAAATAAAAGCTTGAAATGATTGAATAAGATATTCTTCGTCAATTACAACACTTGTGTAACTTGAATAAAACCGAATTTATGTAGATCATCTAATCACATGATGTATACTGCAGGAGTTAGTTTGCAGGAGTGCGCTTATAAACTTCTATGCCAAAACTCTCTTTTGCATGCGGGTTAATTTTTCTATACTCTCTAATATAAAGCCTAGTAATTTGAAAGCTAGGTAATTTATTTCGAGTTATAGATGATCTGTTCTGACGGTGGTATCGTATAGAAAAGATGGTTGATCCAAAAATACAAAAGCAACGTGAATTGCTTCCGGTAAGTTAACAACATTCTTCTCAATGAAACTTTCGAGTACTTGATTATTGATAATAACGTTATTTTAGATATTTCCATATAGGCAACAAATAATAGATGCAATCAAAAAAGAAAACCTACTCGTGATCACTGGCGAGACAGGTATGCGTTTCCGAAACTACCATATCCTATTACTATAGTATGATCGTATCGATCTAACAATCCAAACGTCTTCAAGGATCCGGAAAAACTACACAAATTCCTCAATATATTCTAGAAAGTTTTCCGGAATGTCGCTTAATAGGTGTAACTCAACCAAGGTTAGCAATCAACCATGACTGTTCAATCAAAGCAAATGAAAATAAACTAACGTCACGACAGGCGAATTGCAGCAATGACTGTCGCAAAGCGAGTATCCGAAGAATATGGAACTCGTTTAGGAAATGAAATAGGGTATTCTATCCGTTTCGACGACTGCACCTCTACAAAAACTCGTCTTCGGTATATGACGGATGGCGTTCTTTTGCGAGAAGCTACAATGGATCCCAAGCTGTCGAATTATGACGTTATTATCGTTGATGAAGGTATTGAGTTGACACGAATAATGGCATTTATTTGCCCGTGTAACTGCTTTCTTTCTAATCATAAATTAACACTTATCAAGCCCATGAAAGGACGGTGGAAACAGATGTCCTGTTTGGTCTTCTTAAACAGACCTATAGAATGCGTCCAGAATTAAAAATTTTGGTTATGTCGGCCACCCTAAACGTCGAAAAATTCTCCGACTTCTTCAACAAATGTCCGACATTGGATATTCCTGGTCGAATGTATCACGTAGAGATTAATCATCATCGAGATGCCAAAATTTCTAGTTTGAAGTCTACTTATATACAACGTGCAGTAGACACTGCCCTATTTATTCATCAAGAGGAGCCACCAGGAGACGTGCTTGTGTTTTTGACGGGGCAGAACGATATTGAGAAGGCGTGTAGGGATTTAGAACGGGAAGCCAGGCATTTGCGAAGGAGTGATATTAGGTACGGGAAACATGTCAAAGCGATGGTTGTGTATCCATTATACGCTAGTTTGGAGACGATGGAGCAGAGAGCTATATTTGACGAACCACCTGAGGGCACCAGAAAGTTTGTTTTCGCCACAAACATCGCTCAGGTAAGAGATATACTTTACATATTATCATTAATATGAGAATGTCTTTAGACAATATCACTCTAACCGTATCCCTGTTCTCTGTCCGAATAGACTTCCGTTACTATACCGGGGATTAAGTATATTTCATCCGATTAAATAAAATTTCCCTTGTTTGCATTTAACCATAAACTAATGGTTTTACTTTTCCTTTTATAGATATGTAATAGATTCTGGTTTCGTCAAGCAGAAGTCTTATGATCCTAATACCGGAATGGATGCTCTTCTGGTAGTTCCTATTTCACAAGCAGCAGCAACCCAGAGAGCAGGTCGCGCAGGCCGCACTGCTCCCGGAAAAGCATATCGACTTTACTGTCGAGAATCTTATGAGCAAATGGACGAAGAGACTGTACCCGAAATTCAACGCAGCAGTCTTTTGGGTACTGTATTAAGTCTCAAAAAGATGGGTATTCAGGATATTATCAATTTTGAATTCATTGACCCACCCGATCCTTTGCTTGTAACCAACGCATTGAGGCAACTATTCTTATTGGAAGCCATTGATGCGAACGGTAAATTAACAAGTTTGGGTGAACTGATGACCATATTTCCTCTGAACCCGTTTTTGTCCAGAGTATTGATTTCTAGCGCCAAGGAATTTAATTGCAGTAGAGAAATAGTGATCATTGTTTCTATGCTATCTGCCGAGGAAGTGTTTTATTCACCTAGGAACGAGGAGAAGCAGATGATTGCAGAAGACGCACGTAAACAATTCTATCATTCATCAGGTGATCACATAACTCTGTTAAATATCTTTGAAGCGTATCGCGATTGTGGGTATGATATTGATTGGTGCAGAGGAAGGTACTTGAACCACCGCGCACTGTCGGTAGCAAAGAACGTTCGTGAACAAATTCAAGATATAATGGAAAAGAATGGATTACAAATAATTAGTTGTCGACGTAATGAAAATAACAACGATGAAGAGCGAACTAGGAAGAAGCGAAAGACGTATTATAGAGAAACAAAGTATGATCCAGAACCAATATTGCAATCACTTGTGACGGCTTATTATATTCACCTAAGCAAGCGACATCCCCATAGACCGGTATTCTATCACTACGCATCTGGAACCGCATCAGAGTCTGTTGATTCTAACTCGTCCCTATTAGCATTACATATCTCACCAACGTCTGCATTATATCCCGAAAATAAGGTGGTCAAAATTGAGAGTCTGGATTGGCTTATTTATCATGCCATTGTATATACTAATAAGGCATTAATGAAGACAGTAAGTAAGGTTAGCTATAATTGGGTTGAGGAGAAAATGAGTTTGTTTAAGCAATTACCCAAAGCTAGATTGGATGGCAGTAGTGAAGTTATCGATAAGGAGAGTGATCAGAACGACGATATGCCTGAAAATGATGTCAGCAGTCAAGATAAAGACAAAGTAAAGATGACAGTTCAGTCTAGTGATATAAATGAAGAGAAGAATAGAAGAATAGAAGCTATAGCTGCCGCTAAAGAACGAGCTCTGAGACGACGAGCAATGGCTCAAGAATGATGGCAGTGACTCAAAATACCTAACTTTTGCGACGTTCATATAAACAATATTAAAAGTCAGTACTAGTACATAGTTCCTATGCAAATGTAATTCGTTGCTGATTCCGAGGCTAGATCATTAATGCGCAATTGTATACTACAAGCTGTACTGTATGATGTAGGCACAAGATAGTCAATCAACATCGCAAAGTTCGAGATACTTGCAAGGAGTACTTGAGACAAACAGTTGGATGAATGGTTTTGTCAATCGGAATGATCTGAGCCTTTAAATTGTTGCTATTATAACTATTGTTATAATAAGAAAAGTCGGCACCAAATAAATTAGAAAAGTTCATGTTACAATACGAAAATGAAAAAGCCTTTAATTGAACTCCAGCATAAACTTTAAGAAATTCACAACTTTCCATCCACCTTCTTCATTTATCATCGATCATTGAATGACAAATTTAAGCAGTGCGAGAAACACTGATTATAATACAGTGATATGTCAATGAAATCTGATGAATAAAGAATACATGTTCTATTTTCTCTATAAATTTGGTGGCATTAGGCACTTTATAAATAATTAATACTTGAGTCTAATATGATAATAAATTCTTTAGTCGTAAACATGGTTTACATATTTTATCTAAATAACAATATTACATTTGCAGCTGTGGATAATGAGCGATGTACGATGCTTTACGGGAAATTGGGTACTTGCACGCAATGTAGTTGTAATGTAGTATAGATGTCAAAAAAACCTTGTTGAAACCTAGTTACGATTCATTGTAAGAACGTTGATAAAAGCATTGTATTGTGCAAGCATTTAGGAAAGGCTCGTAAAATAATTATATTATCTTTCTGCGATATAGTAATCATATAGTCTGATGCATGAACCTTGTGACAACCTAGTTACAATGTACGTAAGAACATCGATTTAGAATAGTTAAAGCATTGTAGGCATACCTTGGCGAGGTTTCAACAACGTAGTAACAACACTGTAACAATATTCACAACCTACACAACGTTTTTCAGAATGGTATATTAGTAAAGCATAGTTGAATATATATGATTATTTCAATTATCGAATATTATTATTTCCAATGTTTACTCATTCAGATATGACTCCGTTCCATCGCCACTTCGTTAACGTGGACATGCTCCAATTGCACACAAACGGTGCTTATTATTATAAATCTGTAAATCGTATATTGGCATTTAAAACATGCTTGCGAGCTGATCAACAGCACGAGATGTTAAATTTAGAGGGGTAACGGAAAAATGGCGACATGCACGGAAAATCGGTAACGCGATTGGTGACGCTTTAAAATAGTAATGCGATTTTGGTGACGCTCAAAAGCAACCTTTCCGACCGTCTAAAAACCTCATGTTGTATATGTTGTGTTAATTTTATTATAATCTATTAATATTCAATACTGAATATGAAGTATCGAACTTTTATTTTATTTTCGTTTTCTATCATTTGCGATACTAATTATAGCTTTGCCTGGTAGTTTTATTCGGGCTATTACGAATAAATTCCTGCTGAGTCATCGCAGAAGAAAGTTGTCAACGCGATAGGTCGTTAATTTCGTAACTGCATAATTAGAGGTTCTGCAACGATATTTATTTGTTGTTTAATCAGAATTAAGTGACGTTTTCCAATTAGTGAAAAACACTAAATCATAGTTTAAAATTTCCCGTTCGATTCTGTGATATTATTTTATCGTAGGCATCCTTATTTAAATACGAGCATATCGTATAGGGAGAAGAAACGAAGCGCGCACATAATATAATTATTGTCACTTATAAATTAGTTCAGCCTGTGAGCAATCGTCGGAATAAGGGCACGCCTACGCACTTGATACTATATTAATATATTACTATCTATATGTTTGAAGTTAATATTAAACTACAATTACACATGCAATCGTGATACTGATATTAAATTTTTTCGCAACGAACCATTGTAAGTAATACCTGCAATTAATTGCCTGCAGTTATTACACAATTCGTTGGCTTTCTTGAATTAACAAGACCTATTTCAAAAATATCTTGTATTATATATAATTATGCAATTTGTTGAAATGCTCCTACAACACTGAACTATACCGCTAATTAATTCCATATAAAATAAAGCCTTTTTTACTCACTTATCATGCTCTCGCTTGCTAATATTTTAACATTCTTTCAAAATCATACCAGCTTGGTACAGTACAACCCTTATATTCGACCTTTTATTATACATGAGTAGACTGATAAACTTATCTATTACTATTACTGTAAAAGTATTTTTACTGTTACAATTCTGATGATAATTGATGTCACTTAATATTAAATTAGCTGTCTGCTCAACAATTACAATAGCAAAATTTTTAGAAAAAAATCCACATGTTAGAGATACTATAATTAGATTGAAATATAAAAGAGTCCTTTATTTATAAACATCAATAATAGTCAAATAAATCAAAATGCGCTGAACCATGATTTGAACTTTGTCTTTAATTTCCCAATGATACCTCTCTGTTCTTCCTCTGAAACTTTCTGCTCTACTCCTGAAACTTTTTGTTCCTTTCCCAGGCTATCCTGTTCTTTCTTTAAAACATTCTGCTCTATTCCTGAAACTTTTTGCTCTTTCCCCAAATTATCCTGTTCTCCCGCTAAAACATTCTCTAAAATTTTCGGCTCACCATCTAAAATATCCTGACCTATTTCTGAAGTTTTCTGTTCCTTGTCCAGTTGCTGGAAAGATGTGCTTTCTACTTTTTCAGCTGGCTGAACGGTCGTCCCAGGTTTTGGCATCATCGTCATCAGCACTTGTGGATCTAATGGGACTCCAACAGCTTGTAAACCGCGTGCAATTCTGCCAGAAACTTCTCTGACCTGTGGATCAGAAAAAAGTTTCATTGCTTCTGTAACAGGTGGAGGTTCCCCGCTTGTAACATCGATTCCCTTTGTCTGCAATAATTCAGCAAACTCTTGCAAAGTAGACACTAATTCTGGGTTGCTTGCAATCTTGGCTAGTAGTGGATTGGACAAGTCAAATTGTGTTTGATCTGGAAGTGACGTTGCGTATCGTGTTGGAACGGTCCACGGTGCAATCCTTTGTAATGAAGGTGATCGGGAATGTATATTCAAGCTATGGATAACACTAAATCTTCGTAAAGCAGGCTTATTCTTTAAGACGCAAATAAGGGCTCGCGATCTGTACAATGATTGCATGTTCAACGACTGTATTGCCAAAGAATTCGAGAAATTGCAAAAAAATTATCTACATGCGTCTTATTGGTCGATCATCTGCAATTCACGTGAATATACCTCTTCTCTAGGGAGGAGACTTGGAAAAAGAAAAACTGATTTTTTCAGCGACTTTGGCAATCGAAATGACATCTCCACATAGCACTAGTGGTGGGTCACCTCCTTTTGCAAGTCCCGATAGTTTGTCATCAGAATGTATGTCTGTCAAAACAGGCAAGAAAAGAAAGAGTGAGATAAATGATGTCCGACCAAACAAGCGTCGAGAAACCCAGGAAGAAGGAGTTTTGGTGGAGAAGGATCAAGGGTTGGAGATAGAAGACGAGATTAAAGACGAATTAACGCCTGACGAAAAGAGTGACTATACATTTAAAGTATTTGGATCGGACGATGGTTCACCGAGCGATCCTGCAGAAATGAAGGACGACAAGGCAAATTTTCAAGCGGCATATGATGTGCAGTGGCTTTTCAGCACAACTCACTTCCGGCAAACGCCGTCTCGTCGAGATGGTATTAATTCCACTGAAGAGTTGATCCGTCGATCGAAAGGCATCAAGTTCATACATGACTGTGCGCACGATTTAAAACTACATAAGATTGTATTGGCAACAGCCTGTATCTATTTTCACAGATTTTATATGCGTGAGTCATTGGCACAGTTTCATCATTACGATATAGCAGGCACGTGCCTTTTTCTATCGTGCAAGACAGAAGAAAGCACTCGTCGACTAACACATGTAGCGACAATCTGCGCGCGGAGAGCACATAAGAAAGATACATGGGATGACCTGAAGGAGAGTGAGAAGTGGAATAGTACAATACGAAAGAGAGAGCCAGTTGTGATGGCGACGTTAAACTTTGATTTGAGCGTGGAGCATCCATATTTATTTGTGCTAGCATTGGTGGATTCGTTAAAGATTACGAAGGACATGGTTAATATTGAACACGTTGATGATTTCTATGCAAGGGATTCGGCTCAGAAGGAGATGGTTGAGAAATGGCTTGCTTCGCATAGTCTTGTGCAAAACGGGCCTAGTGAGAACGATAAGAATCATGATGCAAGTAAACATGAGAATGGTGTCGAGTGTAGGAATATTGGACTGAATACGTCTAACGGAGATGTCGATACCGATGCCGATGAATCAATGAAGGACATTGAAATAGTTAAGACAGAAGATGGAGAAGTGACACCAGTCGGTGCCCTACAAGAGGACATAATACAACAGAATAGTGATGCCTTGGAAAAGGCTGGCAAGGAAAATGCGACTGAGAACAATGGTGATACAAAGAATATCAAAGGTACACGCAAGACTCGATCAACTAGAATACAACGTGATAGTATTAAGCCTGGCCACGAAGAAGGCGAGGCGACTCCACCAGGCCTTAATAATGCTGTCGACTCATCAAAGTCTATCGCAGGACGTGCTCCAAATCAACCTGATGGACCGGAATATGCAAATTATAGACAGTATTTTGCCGATTGCGATCCATCATCCGAACTATTTCGATATCAGACATTGGCATATGCTATTGACTATCTGAAGAACCAAGAACCAAAGGACATTCTTAAAACACGCGCGTGGGCTCTTATTGATAATAGTCTTTACGGGCCTTTATGCCTGTTTGTTAAAGCGAAGACTATCGCTAGTGCAGCAGTATTCTTAGCGGCCAAGATGCTTCAGATTGGCGAACTAACGCCAGATAAATCAATAACGGACAAGTCTTCCTGGTGGTCTATATTGGACGACAACGTCAACAAGATAGCCCAAGCAGCCGACATGATGCTGAGTCAATATTCATCTCATCCAATTCTCTGCAAGGAACTTGATCTGTGTGATAATCCGATAGCGTGTGCATACGATCCATTACATTACAAATGTACGGTGATCGCTACTGATGTAAAGTCGGAAGAGTTCTGGGAATATGTTGATGAAGAAGGAAAGGCTGTTGAATGGAATCCGTATGAAGGGGCTCCGAACAGTTGTTCTACATTCGCCGCTACATGATATTATGTGTATAGCGAAATGATTACATAGTCGTAAGGATTTAATATCAATGTAAATTATAAACCAGCAAAAGGCCGACAGTACACAATCATAATTTATTCGACGGTGTGAAGCCCTGCTCGCTCACTTGCGAGAATTTCTTCCGTTGAAATAAAGTCATCTCTGCATGAACTTTCTTTGATCTTGCACATACGTTAAGGAGGACGTTTGGCATACTGATCTGAAATAAAGATATGATGGTTACAGTCTGTGTGTAACCGAGTACTGGTTTTCATTCTTGTAAAAATTCTTTTAGATTTTTAATTTCCTATGCAGATTTTATTTTAATACTATGTATATGAACGAATTATAATAGACAATAGATTGACATAATGATCAATGCATGTTCCAAACTGTAAAAGGAATAAGCAGAGTTCATAGAGAACAATGTATATTGAAGCCATAGATTATTGCATTGTAATCGGTTTTCTAAAAGCGAGAATTATAACCATTTATGATTTGACCATTATCGTTATGTGAGAAAATAAATAAAGCATCGTCAATTCAGTACTTAACCGGTAATAGTAATGGTAAGGCCTATTATCGTTATAATTACAAGTTACAAGCTCTACCAAGAAACAAATTTGTATTACGCGTCATTAGGTATACTGCGCACAATGCATTCACATTTGTAACAATCAAAGTAATTGATCTTCGGTGTCACAATTTGACGCGTCATCTCATTCGTGAACACGTTGTAAATATTTAAGCAATTCTACTCGCGACCGAGGTTGTTTACAATAAACAGTTTTTTTGCTATTGCTGATGTATTTCGAAGACCAACCTAACAACAAATGGCGCGTTTGTAAGCAGACAATACGCGACCAAAGAGATCTGTCGGATGTCTTTAAATACTCCGCTTCCGCGTGACCTCTCACCCTCCACTCTTTGGTCCATAAACCGACGTTGGCCATCCCGTTTTGAGCGACTGAAATCTCTACCGTCCCAGCCATACTTCAAACTTCCCGATCTCCTTAGTTACAATCAATTATAACAAACCCGCCCGGCGCTAGAATTTCATTCCAAACTCAGTTTTGCTCAAACGACATTTATACGTTCTGCATTACCTAAAACAATGTCAAACGAGAATGCCCGTCGCAGTTCACTGAGAGAGACTCCTGCCCGAACGTTAGCAGCCACAAAGAACCAGATCTGGCCACCGGAGCTGGAAGAAGTGTTCATTGCGGCGCTTAAGGCTATTCCAAATATAGGTCTAAGAAAACCGTACGTCGATGGCCGTCCGTATGGCAGAAATCAGTTGCTGGCAGACTACATTTATTCGAAAATGGGCGTAACAAGAACACACAAGCAAATCTCCTCACATATTCAGGTGTTGAAAAAGTCTCGAGCTTGGGATGCAGAACTAATGCGACTGTTGGGAGATGCTAATGATGCTGCAACAATGGATGCAGATGAATACGCTGCCATTGTTAAGAGAGTGGTTGAGATGCGAAAGTAAGCTAATTGTACGGTCGATTTGTGTAGATTATTAGCAGTAGTTAAATATGGCTAATTGTGATCGTACGTATTCTTTTTTAATAATCCAGGTCGGTAACAACAAAAGGTTCAGAGATCAATATTCTTCGTGATTTTACGAATGAAATGGTAAACCAATCAACGAACCTTCGCTCAAGAAGTATCACACGGACAACCAATTTAGTTATTCGCTCTAAAAAAAGTAAAAGAAAGCACCACCGCGATTCAGGTTATGGTGAAGAGTTACAGACAATTGATACAGATGAGAGCACCGGCAATGATAATAATGACAACCAGGTTGATGAGTTTAATGGTTATGAAGGTCCATATCTCTCAATGTCAGAGGATGAAAATGGAAATAGAATGGAAGTTGAAACTTCATCACAAGCTTCTCAGGATGAACAATGTTCAGTCACAGCGAGTAGCATTGAGACAGCTTCAGCAGATATGGATACAGAAATGACATTAGACGATCATCAAGCTGCAGAGCATTTGTTGCACCTTCCATCATATTATCCAACACAACCGTCTAATCAAAATTCTTTATATCCAATGACATTTTCAGACAACTCAGAAAACCAGTACACTACTGATGAGACATTTGTGGCAGACATTCTTCTAGATTTGCCATCTTTAATTTTCTCTAAATCCCCACAACCAATAGTTAGACCCCAACCCTTACTCACTAATCCGCCTACACCACCAACACCGACCCCGACACCGACACTTACATCAAATACGGTTAATATATTACCATCTATTAAGGTTTTATTTGCACAAATTGAAGAGATGGAGAGACAGTCTGAACATTGCAAAGCTATTTAGAAAGAATAATGTTATGAAAGTAATATAATACGGATTGCGATTTTGTGATTATAAATTTATGGGTAATAGTGCAAACAAATCAATAATGGATGAATAGAATAGGATTTGGTTTTTATAAAATCTTTGATAAATAAGCTGTAAATAAAAAAGTTAATCTGTTCCTTAATATAAAACTTGTTCCACATTGAATGATGATTATATGATGTAAACTTTAATAATATATATAGTATAGTAGTAGTACAAGGATGCCAAATCTGAATCTCGAATAAAATTTATTGGTCAAAAAGCGCCCTCATCGAAGATAACGAGCATAAAGTATTCGACCGCTAAACATCCAATGTTTGCGGCTAAAAACGTATCAAATATATCAAAGCCGCACGTCGTATATTTCGACGTAAACTTCAAAAATCAATATCTTTACATGTTTCTAATTAATCTTTTTGTTTAAATCAATCTCTGATCTATGGTCGAATTAGAAGAAAATCGTTGTACTTGGCAACAAACAGGCATTTTGTAGTAGCAATCATACAGTAATCTTTCTAAATTATGTAAACGCATTTTATGGTGTAAGAAATAAAATAAAAAACCCCCATCACAAATTTGGAATTTCTGAGATATCTTAGGTAAAGACTTCGGTGTTTGGAAATTTTTCTGTAGACATCCGACCGGGCTGAAATTTTACAGATAATTAGAAAGTTTACTTGTTCAAACTAGGAGCAGTCGGATACTTATGCTCATAACCAGTAGTAATTATGTTATCATTTACGCAGGATATGATATTTAGCAGAGATAAGTCAGTAATTCACACCATTCGCATGGAAGTGTAATGATAATATATATGTACCGTAATTGGAATCTAATATATGGGCATTCGCATATCATGAATATTGAGACGTAATAGTCGGTTGTCACATTAATGCAATGTCGTCAAGATTACATAACATATTCCTTTACAAGGAGGCGTGTGATACAATGGAGTTGAACAAACATCTATTATGTTCACATGATGCATCGGAGAATAACTTTAAACAAAATTTTGCCACGTCTCAGATTTTAATGATTGGCTAACAAGTATGCGTAAATATCAGCCGAAAAATTTTTTAGTTCACACTCCCAGTTAGTTAAACTCGTTTCAAAGCAAAAAAAATAATTTATTCTCAGAAGCGAACGCATACAATGAACAGAAAAGCAAATTGCGAGCATGCAGAAGAAAACGTTTGATTGAAATAATAAGAGATGATATACACAATTGGATGTTATTCGGAAGAAACACCGACGGTAATACTTTGTTCAAACAAAGTAATGTAGTGGAGACCTTATTCCTAGACCCTGGACTTAGTCTTCCTTAATAATTTCAAAGTCTTTCTCCCATTCACCGTCGAGGACTGAAGAAGTTAATTGATAGTCGCAACGGCGAATTAGTAAATGAACACTACTCTGTTTTTGTCTATCGTTGTTCACTTCTCAACCCCCTCCCCCTCTTTTCGGGAACATACCAGAATCATTCATTTCGTTATTATCATCAGCAGTAAGAGCTGCAGTAGATTCCGCAAGTGCTTCTTTAATCCGTTCGCCTACAGCAGACATGGTCATATGGTCTTTGGCTTCAAATTTAGGGGTCTCTGAACCGTGTTCCTCTTCAGTATGGATTGGCGGTGGCAGATTTTGAATAACGGTTGAATCTTGTTGTAAGACGTCAGATGGTTTGTCTTCGGGTTTATTAGAGGCTAGTAACGTGGATGACATCACGCTGTTATCGTTCCCCTCTTTCTTCTCCTCTGTTTTCCTTGTCTGTTCCAATTGCCCTTTCGCTTCATCCACATCCATATTATTCGTTCCTGTCTCTTCTTTTACCACTCCCTTTGTTACGTTCTCTTGTTCCTTTACCGTATCTTCTTCTAATTCTTTTACAACCTTTCGTTCGCCCAATTCCATATCTTCGCTTCTATCATTCTGGTCCTTGCTCCTCCGGCTTTCTATGTTACTCACTTTCTCTTCTTCCGTGAGCGGTACTATTTTATCATGCTCTTCTGCGATTGTTCTATTTCCTGGCACAAGTCGTCCGGTTGCAGTAACAACCTCTTCGCGATAATTGCTTGGTGGGGAATAGGGTCGTGTGGAGTCGGCGCTTGTTTGGAAGAATGAGTCGGCGTTCTGTGAGCTTTGATTCGGGACTGAATTGTACAAAGGTATAGGACGAAGGTTAGAATTGGAGATAAACACAATGGCCACCATTTGATATCGAAAACGAAGATAAGCACTAACACTCACGCTTGAGTACTGTATCATTTAACCATTTCCATACATCAACCCAGAGTTGGTTCTCACACAAAGCCTGGAATTTGGTTGTCGCCTCGTAGTGCATGAACGGCGGAATCAACAGTAATGAATTTACTGTAATAATGAAAGGATAATGAACGAATGACGATTTTGAGGGGCTTAAACAGGCAAACGAGGCATTAAAGCGTTTAAAGCAGTTTCCAATCGAGTGAACCAGAAAACATACCAATGAGGACAGCTTGTCTCATGGGCGACATTAGCTTTCCCAGAAGTGCAAGGAGAAAACATGTATTGAGCACAACTGCCAAATACTAGAAAATGGACAACAGTTAATACTTTTCAATACGACTTATGCGGGCAATACAATCTGCTCTCCCGTCTCAGATGTTACTGGACTGAATTCTTTCAGTTTATGGATTACTACACCTTTATGCAAATATGCTTTTGCGAACTTACCAATCGTGGGTTATCCTTGCGGAATTTTGATACAGTATCACGCAACCATTGTATACGGATCTTGAGCCTAGTGCATATTTCGGGGAATTTGACCGGTGGGGGTTGAGCCCTGTAATTTTTATTGACAACGAACAAGGACGAGAGCGATATCGAGAAATGGAAGGTAAGAAGTAATGTTTTGAATTCTGTTGAGAAAAGTTCCATGATTTTACAATCTCACTTACAACTCTTTCTCAAGCCTGTTGCGCAGTGGCTGTAATATACTCTATAAATATAAATCATTAGAAGCTCATAGCTAAAATGCGCAACATCATCGCATATCATCACATTATCTCATTCACACTCGTACCTGTGATGCGTCCTTTAAATTGGTATTAACACCAATATGGACAAGCACTTCTGAGAGCAACACATACAAGCCGGTTCCCGATGCTACCAATGTGAGGAACGGTATGTATGGATTGGTAAAAACCCTGTAAGGTGTAGTAATGGAACGAGATAAGTAAGGGATCGTTTATACACGAGAAAGTGATAAGAGTCGAATGTAGGCGCTAAATTATGTATTTAAGTCTTCGTTTCTCGCAGCAATTCGCACCTTTCTCCACGCATATATATGTATGTATGTACGTATGTATGTATGTATGAATATGTATACTTGCCAAACGGTAGCGTTAAGTCCGAGTGCGACCGCACACAGTAATGTTGGTCTCTTGAATGTGAGAGTAGCATATGCGATCTCGACCGTTTCCTCGTAGTTGTTGAAGTGAAGCTGTAGCTTGTTTATGCTTTGCGTTGACATAGTGAAGTAGAGTGTAGACAAACTGTAACGTGAAGCGTCTGTGCAGAAAGCTGGACTATTGGTAATAACAGACTGAGTAGACAGTAAACTTTGGGTTATGTTATTACTCGTAATAAAACTCTCTCGATACGTGAAGCAATCTTTTTTCCCTTGTCATGATAAGCAAGTTTTATTAGATGCTTAAGTATGCGGCGGAGGTTCATGGTCACGGGGACTGTAGTTTATTTCAGCAGTGGTGGTGGCACACGGCGCATGTATAGGTGAGGTTATTAATCCTGTGTGCAGACATTACGTGAATGTTGAGTGGTACGCCAGGTGTCATGGGGAAAGATGGTATGTAATTGATAAGATAACGTTGATACTATTGATTCGCGATATTTGTTGCATTCAACGCACTGGTCACTGTACGCTACCCAAATAATAATGATGAGAGATTATCATTATGAACAATCTACAGTGTAACAATGGAATAATTGCAGTTTAGTGAATATTTTCAGGGGTTTAAATCAATGGAACGCCACAATATTGCTCTTTATCATGCAAAACTTCCCCAATAGGAGACCGAACGTTTGTAATTCGGTCACATGCTTTCCTCGCTATCTCATTCTAAGGTAAGTTTTCTTTTGGATATCAATAGGCATGCGAAAAATAATAACAGTAAAACGAATATAGATTTTGACATCTCTGACAGAATAGTCGATATCCCATCTTTGATACTAGTAGAGGTAATTTGCGTACATTGATCATCTGAAACCGTAATAAATGAAAAGTTATCGCTGTGGATATTTCGGCGACATTCCCAAGCAACTTGTGTAAAACAAGCGCGATAAACTTTTTTGTTTCAACATTGTTAGATTCCTATAGTAAAGTTACAGTATTCTTCCCAACATCGTGAACGGCAAGTCATCTACAACGTATGATCCACAGAAAAGTAGGCTTTTCGAAAGCCTATAACATGTCGTTTACGAGCAACATGGCACCAAAGTATCAATTCGGATTGTCTGCATGATAAATGATACGAATTGTGAAAATGCCATATAAAGTTACTTTCAAAGAAGGCTGTCAAAGTACTCGGAACCCCTGAAATCTTCCGTGACAGTCAATCTATTGTGTTCTACATATAGATGTGTGCGAGGATGATTACGCATTTTTGATCTGCAGAATTCGTCAGCATCAAAGTAGATCGGCGCAAGTCATGTGAAATTCTCAAAACACGCAATTATTTTAACAAGACTAAAATACCAATATACAAGTTTATTCCCCCGCTCTATATAATACATCCTACATACATATCACCTATTTATTACATAACAGGCATTCAAATAAAGCTACTCATCCTATATATGAGCATAGCAAATCTCTTCAGACTCGGGTGTGCAGTATCTTCAGCTAATTGTCGATAGTATGTATCTTCAAGACGTTGTCTAACTGGGGGGATGATCTGGGGAAGGTGTTCTCGAATTGAGGTATCCTACAGTAGCAAGTTATATCGGAATAGTTAATACAAACAATCTTCAAACATATTTCAATGAATGCTTCTCTGTTCACCTTAACATCTAAATGAGCAACTGCCTCTTCTAACCATAACAATTTCAATTCAAATAGCTTATCCAATTCGTTCGACAGATGGTGAATCAGTGAGAGTACGACAAGCTGCGACACACTTGTCCTGCCGTCTTCATGAAAAATAGTCTTCGGATCCAGTTTACTAATTAAGCGGAGTATTGTCGTTGCGTCGTTGGATGATAGGGCCTATTGGAAATTTTGGCAAGTCTTTTAATGAATGATGTATGCTGATATTTGGCATTTGCTTAGTTTGTATAATTGGGTATGAGAAGTACACACGCATATATATACACGCGTGCTTGTGTATATATGTACGCTTTCCTTCTCCCAACCTCAAAAACCAAGCCCCAAAACGAACCTTAACAAAAGCCTCTTCAAAATTCCCCATATCCAAATACCTATCAATCATATTCCTCAATTCAACTACTCCGGGGGCTTCCATAGGAGACGTGTACGGCCGCTGCACACTTGGGTGGCGCTGATGTGTCTGCTGACGGTGATGTACAATAGTGTGTTCCGCTTGAGAAGGCAACGCTTGACGGGTAATTAGAGAAGTGTTTGATGTGTTAAAAGTGTTAGTCGATTGGGGAATTATAGATGCAGTAGGTTGGGGAATTATAGATGCAGTAGGTTGGGGAATTATAGATGTGGTAGGTTGCGGAATAGTGGTGGCTGTAGATAGTGGGATGGTTGCTGTAGTTGGAATGGACGCCATGGTCGCTGTAGCCATCGGCGCAGCTGCGGTGGGGAGCGAAATAGGCACGTTATTGACCGGTGTACCTGCTCCTATGGATGTAATTATACCAGTGGGTTGAAGAGCTATCGATCGTCATTTGATTGGCGTAAATGAGTTTCGTAACGAGATAATCGGCAGAGCAATGGCGGGTATTGATAAGAGATAAAGTAGCAGATATTAGAAAAAAAAAGTCATCATGTAATAAGCAAACTGACTTTTCTATTTACCCCATACATTATTTGTGTACCACACAAACCCTGCTCACTCATTCCTTAATCTCACTTACCACCATTCCCAACTCCCTTATTTCCCATTTCATATCCATCCTGTGTACTCATCCGCCCCAATCGTGGAGTGGTTTGGGGAATGAGCATACGTTTCAATTCTCCCGACAAAGATCGAGCCAGCTTGTGTTGAACCTCGGCTGTAGCGTGTGACGAATGCGTCTCAGGCATGTGAGAAGGGAGATGAGTTGTGGTGGCAGTGGTTGCGGTGGTAAGAGGCTGTGGATGGATGCTCGAGGGCAGTTGTTGCTGAGGCAATTCTTGCTGTCGTTGCTGTTGCATTCCCTTTATTGTATTAAGCAATTCCACCTGCGTTTGCTGCAAGTCTCTTATACACCTTTCTAATTGTTCTAATCTTCCGTGAACATCTTTAATTCCCTTCTCACCCGCTCCAATAGAGGTCAAACTTTTCTCACTCCTTTCTGCAACATGTTGCAAGCCCTCTTCTACTGTTTGATTTATTTGCGAGAACATTACGGCCGTGGCTTCTTGGAGTTGAGGGACAAGGATGCCGGTAAACGATTGTTTAAATATTTCGTCAACGGTTGGCCGCATTGCTTTGGACACGCCCTTGGCAATCGATTCAATAACAGCCGGTTTGGAAAGAACTTTGGAAACATTTTCAGATACAGCTCGCTCGATTGCGACCGGGATCGACTTTTAAGAGAACGGAAAAAAGTAAATTGTAAGCGCGCTATTGCATGCTCGTACGATGATACCACGATCTGGTTATTGTTCAACCATGCTATAAATTATTATACATCCACCTTACTTATAGCCTCAGGTAACGCTTGCTTTACTTTATTATCAACCGTACTGGTTAGTGTCCTAGTCAATGCCGGCACAAGCATAGTTTCCACTTCATGTCTTATTGTCTGGGTCATTAGCTGAGACGTATTATTGTTCAACGTTTCGGAAACAACCTTTAGAATTGATTGTTGTCGAGCTGTCTCATGAGCTTGATGCTGTATACGATCGGATTTTAGTTCTTGTGCTTGGAAAGGCAGAATCAAATTGAGATGTGAAAACGAGTTAACATAAAAGGGAGACGAAGAATAAAATACGCGATACAGCATATCCACTTACATTGTTTATCCATTTCTTTAATGAACACTTTTTGCACTTTGTTAACAATATTTTCTTCCAGTTTCCTAAACTCCTTGGAAGTGTTTCCATCTATAACATCCAAGTCATACTGTTAGCATAAAGTGGAGATAATCAGAATTAATAGTAAATGTTCCCATTCACAAGTACCTGCTTTGTGATTGGAGCTTTCCTGTTGAGCCTGTGCTTCTGTCTTGCGTGATTTCTCATTCGCATTCGATGATTTCCCATTGAGTTTTTGCACATCTGCAGGTTTTTTATTCTTCTGCGATGGTTCTGGATGTGCATCATTATTCGAGTCTTTATCCTTCTCCTTATCTTTGTCTTTCTCTCTGTGTCGATCCTTACGTCTCGTGGGTCTCTCAGAATCTGACACTATCTCTCCCGTCCCTGCAGCAGCTAAAGCTCGTTCTTTTTCGGCCTTCTTCTTCTCCTTTAATCTTGCAATAGTACCGTTGACAACAGGACCAGACAGTTTAATGTTACCAGTTGAGACAGCTTTTTGATTATCTTTTTTATCTTCTTCATCTGCGGGTTGTGATTCGGAGACTGCCCGGACTATTGAAGAATGAGATTCTGTATAGGTCGATGTCGAGGCGGTTGCAGAAGTCGTAGCTGAAGTAGACGCAGGGGGATGAGGCGGATGCAAAGAGGACTGGTCGTGAGTAACCGTTGCTGGTGATGCGCTTAATGGTTGTTTGATTGGCTGTGGTAGAGTATTCTCTGGAATTGTATTTGTATCTTTGGTTTGGCTTCCTGCAGTCAGTGCTCTAACAGACTCTGTTACGCTCTGCTCTTTATCTATCTCAGCCGCTTTAACCTTCGGTTCTGCTCCTTCGGACGAAATGACTTCTACTGCTCCTTTGTCTGTCTTATCATCAGTTTTCTTCTGCATGAATATGATTGGTTCGCACTTAAATTCAGGACATCTTTCAAGGCTGTTTGGATATAACATTTCTGGGTATAACCGATACTGTTGCACGGCATCTGTCTGAATGCAGTAGACGCTGAAACCATCTGATTCCGGGACGTTTACAAAGCTGATTATGAATTGATCAACCGGGAACTCAATTATGTAATCGAACTAAACAAGTTATTAAAGTTAGTAAAATCCTAGCTATCCAAGTAACATAGACAAAACAATTCGCGTCGTAGCGAACAAGTAAAATCTTTTGACATTAATGATATCTAACCTTTTTCTTACTTGTATCCAAGTGCACAGCAAATATAGACATTCTAACACTATTCCCTACTATCAAACACCGACTTTTCTGTTCAAACGCGACACAATTGAACATCTTTCTTTCATTAGTTAACGCCTTTCCACTACGTCCATCTCTTGTCTCTTCTTTCGGGGGTATGTATTTAATCTCTTGAATAGCACTCTCCATTGTCGCATCGTATAATCTCAATACGCTGTTTCTGTTAGCACCAATAATAATGTAATCAAACACTGATGATTTGTTGAATAAAGACAGGCCTTCTTGAAGGTCAACGAAAAGAATTGAGGATGGTCTTTCGCCATGAAGGTTTATGCTGTGCACGACAACAGCCTCGTGTGGATTCGAAGTGAGTTGTTGAACGTCAAAAAATTTGACGTAATGACCACTGGCGGTTGCAAGAATTGTGCCGTCAGATGAGAATGCCAGGTCTTCGACTGGCTTTTTTTCCAATGCAATAGTTTAGATCAGAATATGTCAAATTACATTGTGCCAAAAGAGTTGACTATAAGTCTTACCTCATCATATTTCTCGGTCTTGGCGACATTTGACCATATTTCTTCCTCCTTATGAGTCACACCATTTTTACCTTCAGAAACTTTTGCCACATCAATTATTCCAACCTCATTAGTATCAGTAGCAACTGCAAACACAGTTCGGTTGGGATGCCAAACAGCTCTTGTATATCTTGGTGGCCTCGGTTCGGATGCCATAGTTTTTGCGTCTAATTCAAAGACAACTTTACACGGAATTTCCTCATCTACTGTTTGTGGTGGCTCCGAGATTTCCCAAATAGTAACTGTACTAACGTCGTCAATAGCGAGAAGAAAGTGACAGTTATTGTGGCTAGAGTATTGGAGGCATACGTCAATTATTTGCGTGCCTTGGAGTCGAACGAGCGCCTTGCTTCCATATTGGATGCTTATTATTCGGACTTTACCTCCTGTCATATCAAAAGATGTTGAGAAGTGAGGTCAAATTTCACGTGATATTAAATATAAAAACTAATACAAAATAACAACCAGTGGCGAAGTTATGCCATAGAGAGAGAAAAAACAAGCCGGTTTGGTGTTTCACTAATACCAACCTTTGACTGCGTAGCATATAAAATGATCATTTGCAGCAATCAATTTCGATGTTCGATAGTCAGTATCACTTCTTATAACCCTTGTAATCGTGGTGAGTTCCAAATCTCTCGTTGATATCATTGACTCGTTCTGCTGTAACATGTCAATTACAATATCGTTTGAAGGAAGTCTCATTCCATCGGGGATATCTCCCGACAAATTCTTCCTAGTCATAGAAGCCCGTATATTCCATGCAGTGGTATCTGGCAAGGATGGCTCCATATGCGAATAGTCTGCAATTGGTTTTTCTCCAAACATTGCTGCTCCTTCAGAGGACATTTTCGCTTTTTGTCCTACCGATTGCCCTTCAGTCTTTACACTGACATTCTTATCCATACTTCCATCCGCTTTCTGACTTTGTCCCGGCGCACTTCCACCTCCCTTACTCCTTGCAGTCGTTGTCGCGGCAGCTTTTTTGAACACATTAAACGGATTTTGATATGTAAACAGTGAATTGCCAGATGATGAGCTTGCTTTGGTCGTTGATAATAAAGTGGAAGTAGGTGGTATTGATTCGAGAGTGGTAAGCTTGTTGTAGTCAACTACTTCTACAGAGTCGTCGCTTAATACTGCGTCGGGTGTGGGTTCTTCAGCAACCGCGACTGCGTTGGGTTCAATGGCGTCGATGGTAGTAGTAGCATACGTTAACGCGGATGTGGATGCGAATGTAGATGAAGATGCAAGTGTGGATGTGGATGCGGGCGTGGAAACAGGATTTGATGTGAAATTTAGATAATCTAAACTGTGAACGTCTTGTACACGCGTTTGAGTAGTTTCACTGCCACTGTAAAATAGGAGATGCAAGACAAAACGATTAACCGGAGATGGTCGTACACGGCAATGAAGAATGAATACAAGATCAAAAGAATTGACTTACGTTCCCTCATCCTTCTTTTCATTCTCCATCTCCATCCTTTGCGGTCCAAATAAAGCCAATTTCAGAGATTCGGTCGAGGCTCTATCGATATTCAATGTCGGATCAGCTCTAAGCGCTAGTGGTGGTGGATATGGAGGTGATCCTGGTTCTTGGGGAGTGCCACTTGATGATGTCATTGTAACAGATGTCGTCGATGACATTGAATTTGTTGAGTAAGAGGGTTGCAGATACGCCGATGGATTTATGATATTAAGAAGATTAGATTGGTTAGGGGCGTTAAGAGAATCGGAGGAATCGGGTCGAAAAAACGGAATAGGTAAATCTGAAGGATTTGGCATTCGTGGAGGTGTTGACGTCGTTGGTGATTTTGCTGGTGGCGAGACGAGCTGGGTAGATGTGATGGAGGGTGAAATTATAGGCGTGATAGTAGGTGAAATAATACTAGCGGGGGGTATTTCCGGATTTTGAACAGTAAACACGGGGGCAGCACTGAACCGTGGCGACGAAGACGGCGGCGACGAACTATCAGCACCCGTAATACTTTCGCTCTCAGTAACATTCGAAACTGTCACTTGCACGGTCTCATTCGTTATCGTTTCAATACTATCTTCATTATCTAATCCTTCCTGAAAATTATCACTCATTTGTTGTCCGTCCTCTTGCATCTGGTCTATCGAAGTCGTAGAGGTTTCCAAGTTATCCTGTACGTCAGGTTCAGTACTTTGTTCGTCCCGTCCTAGGAAATCTCGTATTAGACGGTACATGTACCTGTGAAAATTCTAAAAAAATACGTCTGTTGCCGTAGGTTCCACTATCGTGAACGACGGCAAAAAAACAGGGTATGTGTCAAAAAGCCTGTGTGAGAGTTTTTGCAGTGTTTGAACGACGGTTTTGGAGTAATAATAATGTGATGTCATAAATTTGGGGGGTCAACCATGTGACGTCACGGAACGAAGCAGTCTTAGTATTTGTGGACGGATGCCAGGTTTCTGGTTGATTTGAATGATGGAAAAACAGATTGAAAAAAATAATAAACGGTTTTTATCCTAACTGGTATTGGCTAAGAGAACGTCGCATTGACCAACCTACACCAATACAAGCACATAATAAACATCTATTTGTATGGTTTATACGAAATCTCTTGTATCATATTAAAATACACACAAAGAAGGCTGTTGACGAGATTTCGCATATCAAAAAGATTACAATGAATATAATGTGGATGATTCGTATATCTGTTAGCAGTCTGCGTAGACATACATCAAAAATTAAGAATGGTTCTTACATACTCATGCTAATTAACTGTTTTCCATGAAAGGAAAGATGTACAAAACTCTATCTGTAAACTACTACATCGAGTATAGTGTACGCCATTGTAAGAATAATTCGGTGCGCAAACAGACCAAAAACACAGTGCGTAACAATATCAATCCGATAGCGCATTAGGACATATCGCATTCTATACCATTGTTCACGAATTAAGAAATTTATATGTACGAAGTATTGCACAGTTGTAATTCATTCAATTCCAAAATTCTTTATATCAAAATACTTAACTTTTGGACCACTTTATTAGTTGCCTAGATAAAATGTGTTGCGATGAACAAAAGAATACCCAATTTTCTGATTTGGTGCTCTTGAAAAGCATTACGTAGCTTTATTTTTAAATTGATAAAAGTTTTTATTTACTTAAGGCAAATAATAATATTCAGTAGTTTTTTTATTTACAACAAATTCGTTGGGTATAATAATAACATGTTGTGGCATATTTTTTCGCAAAATTAATTGTACATTTGTAACAGTAGGCTGCAAAAATCCATGTGTCTAGCTAGTTTGTTTTACCGAAATAAACTTATTATCAAACTCATTCATGTGCTAAAGCAGAAAGTTGGGTTTTGTTAATTCATTATACTGCCTATCTTGACGCGTTATACATTAATATTTTACTCAGACAACTAATAAAGTAAGTGATCCAAAAGTTAAGCTTTTTTTTTCAAACTTTATCTACCAAATTTATAAAGGTAAATAAATTACGACCGTGTCTTCCCACTTTTCCAAATAGTAAGATAATATTCACTTTTACAAAACAATTTAATCACAATTTTGTAAACACTTAGTATTTTTTATTATCTCCTCAATTATTTCTATCGAGGAAATTATTTCAGATAAATTAAAAAATTATTATTACGGACAATTAATAATTAATAATCGATGGATCAATTACTCTCACTGATATCAGGAAAGAGTTGTGCTATAGAACGAGATTAATTAAACACGTAGTTTCTAACAAAATTTAAGATTGCAACTTCCGAGCGTACACTCTAAATGCGCGTCGGTGTAATATTTTTTAATAACGATAAAATAAAAAGTAATAAAGAAGAGACAAATTTAGCAATATTATTAATCCCTGTTATAATTTTAGTATGTAATGTAATAATAACAAACAAAGTCATTTATGTCAAATAAATTAACATTTTATAATCTGATTAACAAAAACATTATTACACATCTTGCTCTTGTTCTTGCAAGCGAATTTATTTCAATATTTTTTCAACGTAAGACTGATTGCCTTTGCTGCTTCTCGTAGTATTTAATCTATATGACACATTTTTTATGGTTCAATTATGTTAGTGTCAGTAACGTTAGATTTTAGTCTTATTGTTACAATCTAACCATCACCTGGATAGACTCGAGTTGATTAACATTTTGTACAACACCCTTGGCCAAAAACCAAGACTTGCTTCTTGCATAAAAGTTATCTTTTTATTATCTCTTATTGCAAATAAAATAGTTATCATAAAAGTTGTCATACAGCATTGATAACCATTAAACTGTGCAGCCGTGCGATCGGATTTAGAGATTTGCGGAAAATATTTTGTTTAATTATATGCCTTTTATATTCGTTTTAAAGAAGCTGTCAACTAGTTTCACAAGCGAGAAAATAATGTTTTACAGAAATATCGTACTGACTATCTGAAAAAATCTGGCTACGTTATCTACAGTGTGTCACGAAAAAAAGCTCTTCGACACGTATACTTTACGCGATATTAATTATTTGTTCTACTTTGTTTATACATTGATGTAAACTACTTGCGGTTGTTTTACAAGTTCAACCTTTGTTTGCTCAACCATAGCTTTTTGCTACTATAGAATATCTCGATCAACGTTGAATAGGCAGTACTGGTCTGTCAATAGCTAATCAAAACTAAGTAGAAAAAAATTGTGTGAAAGTTTATACTCAAAATCAACATTTACTGAATCAATCAAACAAAACATAAGCTAATTACAGGAATATTTGCGGAAAAAATATTATATTAAATTTATGGCAATAAAACCTTGTCATAAGCTATTAATTCATTACTCTAACTATTGTAGTACAACACATTTGCAATTATACTCCACAAGTGTTTGAACTCTGACTTGACAAGGTAAAGTTTGTAAGATACTGTTTGCTGTTAAGAATACTTAAGATCTTATGTTTTGTTTTAGAGAATATTGCCTATAGCAATGTTTCCGAATACACCTAATACTAAGGAGGAAAAACTACTAAATACACTAATCCAATTAAGGCTAAGTTTGGGAAAGCTATCACAGCAAAAAATAAAAGTTGCAGGAAATTTTTATTACGGAGAGGAAGCTATTATTATAGAGTTGATGTTCCTTCAAAATGCATTTATTTGAGTATTCTAAATTCAAGGCGAATACAATACCACGTTGAACTGAGCATAATTAAGATTGACATTTCGTTAACATATTACACCTGATTTGAGTTTTTCAGGAATGCTGAATATCAATATAAATTGCAACAATATATTGTGTTTGATACACATCCCTTTCTTAGTTTAATAACACGAGATTCGATCGCAGTGACTCAAAGTCATGATTGATTATCCTTATATGTTAGTCACTCTCGAGTACAATCTGCGCCATGTTTTCGTTGACACGTTTCTTTTTGAACTTTCTTGCTTTTAGACGTAAAAGCGCCTATGCTTATTAATTTGTATGGCTTGTGACAATTACGCATCCTGCGACAAGCTTAGCCAGACACTATACGAAAAGGTTCAAAACCCGTATTATTATAATAAATTTATGAAAAACCCACACTTTTGTATAAGAGAGAGACGTCTTTGATTAGACGTTATGTTGAAGTTTAGTCATTATACAATAAAGTGAACAGTCGTTCGTCTATTTGAAAATCAGATGTAATCTTTAAACTTTCTTGTTTGGCTGATTTCCCACAGACGTCTGGGTCACAAAGTTTCTCGAACAAGTATTATTGTTACTAAAGTGACTTTGCTGCCAATGGGGAAGTTTCCTATCTGTTTAAATGACAAAAGGGCTACCTCTTATTTGCACTTGGACCCCGAGTTAACATTAAACATAATCGAATGTAAAATCATATTATAGTTTTCAAGTTCTGATATTCCACGGCTAAAGTATCTAATTATTTATGTATTCCGCCGTTAGTTAGGTTCAACAAATGATCAAATATGGCTAATAACCGGGCAGGGGCCTGTATATAAATGGAACGCAAGTCATTTGCAGAACATCAAATTTGCTTAGGGTGATACACGATCATGATAACCATAGTAATGAAGGTTTGGCGAAATCGAAGACTATTGGATTTGGGGATAGAACATTGAGATACGTTTGCAGAGTACTGATACAGAAACTGATACAATAGAAACAATCTGAGAGTGCTGCATGGTCCAAAAGACAGGTTTCGATATCAGTATCCTCTATAAATCAAAAGTTAATTAGACAATGTTCGCTAACTGGTCGCAATAAATATTAACGACATATCTCCGGTATATTGTTAATATTATTGTCAGCTGTATTAATGCATATAATTACTTTTTTAATTAACAGGACTAGGTAAACGCACTAACGCTAAGAATGTAAGACTGCTTGTATACGTAATACATTCGGATGGGGATAACATCGCAACGCACCGCCGATCATTAATGCAATTAATCCGATTACGGTTGAGTGAAATATGGTTAGCTCGTCAGTTTAAACCCCATTTACATCAGGTTTGTTTTCAATCTGAAAAATATGACTACAAGTCAGGTGGCGAGTCAAAGTTACGTCATATCAATAAGAGGCAGTAATAATTACAAAATTACATACGAGTATAGCGTGTAGAGTGTAACGCATCTTTTTTAACTAACGATTTGGCTTGTAGTCATGTGATTTATAAAACCTTTAGCGGATTAAACGCCTAAAGCCTTGATTGGATTGAAAAAGTGGGACACGGCACGTTCTTTTGGAGAAAATCGTGGGAATATATAACTATACAAACATTTATTAATGTGATTATTTATATTATCAAATCTTATTATTATATTACGTAATACAATGATATAATAGTAACTAATGATATAATGCCAACCATTGGACATGACCGAAGAATTTTAATTACCATCTCGGATTACAATTACAAATAAACATTCAATTAGGTATGGGAGGACGGTGAGGAAAAATGAATGAAACCTGACTTGTTTAACATGACTATCACAATTCTATTGGTTCCGCTTTGATGAGTATACGAGTTTAAGCATGTTCTATTTAAAAAACATTTTACAAAGGTTAAAACATCACCAGCATACAACAGAACGTCTATGTCTTGGCGATTATTCCATGGATTATTCTATCGTCTGAACATCCGCATGAGCCGAAGCAAGCTCTTGTTAGCGCATCGGCGTTGCTTGTTCTTACAAATCGTACCGATTTCTTCTTACATGTTGTTATTACAAACTTTGTGTTTTGCTATTGTTGTATTAACTTTGTCATTAATTAAAAATGCCTCTCTGGATGCAAATTGAAAATACGGATTCTATGCATGAACACAAAAATCCAGGAAAGGGTTTTCTAAAAGCTATTTCGACAACAAAGTGTTTGTCTCATTTACTATAAAGTTTATTTTAACCATCAAGACCCGCTATGTCCGAATCGGTCCCAAAATAGATTCGCACTGTCAGAATCCCACGCGAGCTTAAACCGGCGGGGAAATAATCATTACAGCGAAGGCAAGCAGATATTAATATGCACTTGTAATCGGTTTAAATCCTGTTTAGACGCTTTTCGTCTCCATTATCGCCCACGTCATATATTTATCCTCTGTTATTTGCAATCTAAACCCAACTCGTCCACGAGCGGCAAAAACGGTAACATTAAACGGACCACAATGTCACACTATTGTCACATTCCGCCTCAATAAGTCGTCCTATTCCTTCCCATCTCATTTCTCTATAAACACTAGCCGGCCAGCAATAACAGTTCATCACTGTGCGTATCGTACTACTCTCCTTATCCCCTCCCCTCCTCTCTCTCTCTCTATCTCCGACCACAACTAAAGTCTCTTTACTTCAATAAAGGACAGAACATTCTTTACTTTACTCCTTTCATTTTACATTCGTCACTCACTTACTATATATATTTGATGCTCTGTTGTTCATTATTTTAACACTTATACTGTTGGCTGAGTTTATCAATAGTAGGTAATTATACATATATACTTATATACACACAAATATATATATAAATATTACACCCCATTCCAATAACTTTCTCTCTTTATATTCACTGTCCCGTTTGTGGATATATTATTATTGGAATCCAACTAGAGTCCATATAGTCCACTCGGCCTTAACTGCTGTCGATATTATACGACAGATACCTACATACACACACTCTTTTGTATCTTTGGCATATCTCAAGTCTTTTTACTTTGCGACCTAGCAAACACGTCACTCCTACGAATAGAAGAGATAATAATACGGATATTTAAGAATAAGTAATAAGAACTTAGAAAAAGTACACCGACAAGTACTCTCACTATCAACTAACTAGAAAGTGCCATCTGTAACTGCTCCACATACCTACTGTCCCTTCGGTATATATATTCTATAACTTATTATTTTCTCTGTTATCGGTTATTTTGTTCTCTTCAAAAATACCTGTTTCATTGATAATATAATCTGACTCATTTCCTTAAATAACTCGTTCTATACAACGATCTCCTATATTCCTCGCATGTTCAATACTCACTCTAATCTGCCATCACCCAATTTTAGATTCACTTACACAAGTCTACCGAGTGCCTCCCTTAAAGTTTTCTGCGAAAACAACGACTACTCCCCCTCGTCCATTTAATACCATATTCTTACGAACACTATCGTTGTTACCGCCGTCACGCCAATGTACTCCCACCGAAACCACTCTGAAAGTCTTCTCACTCAGCCATTTCATCCTCCGGCTGATGAGCTTGTCGACCAGGGGTTTATACAAGACCAACTACAACAGCAACCCCCTTATGGCCAAGAGCAATTAGATGATATCAATTTCAACACGTCCCAGCTAATGCTCTCCTCCAATGCTTTCGCGCTACAGGCATTGGATGGTAGTATGCCGCAGAGTGCTCTACCTGCTGAATGGCCACTTTACTCGGACGCATTAACCGGAATGGCCGATGCCACTGTTTATGATGCCGACTTGATGACTGATAATCAAATGATCAGCGACCCTTCCTGGCAGCTCATATCATCGCAGCAGACCTCTCAGCTCGCTGAATCGCCAACTCCATCTCTTTCAAACAATCCAAACATGATCGTCAATGACCAACTGCCCAGAGCTCAGACCCCGGGTCCACATCCCAGGATAAACGCACCCCATTACTTGCACATGCGTCGTCGCAGTCTTTCAGCAGACAACATACATGCGCTGGCAAAATACCAGGCGAGAAAGACCGCATTTGGGAATCAGCAGCAATCGACAGGCCAATTTGACCGTTCTCAGTTTGCGCGTACTCAAACTGTAGCCGAAGTTATTGAGACTGAAGATCAATTACAGTCTCATGGCATAAAATTGGAACAGCAAGCTGCCTTTTCAGCCAATATGGTCATCGACCCTCAGATTACCAGCAATGGCAATTGTCAAGCTAACGATAACGAACAACAACCATTGTCGTCAAACAGTCCTCATACGTCAAACCCTTCCACACCAGACGAGCAAATCAAACACGCACAAAAGCAGTCAGAATACAAGTTCAAAATCAGATTGGATAAGAAGCCCCAGAAAATGCCCAATATCCATGTTGCAGCAACAACCCCAAATATCCTCTCCGCTGCTCAATCAAGGATCATGATGCCAAGCGTTATCAGTGCTCTATCCAGTGGAATGGAATTGGGCTCTTCCATTTCTACTCCAAGTACTCCGACATTCTCACCTGATAACGGATCTCATGTAGACAACAAGCCGTCGGCTCCTCCTCGGCGTGGTCATACACGCAAGAGATCCCTTTCTGCACCACAAGCGTTTAATCCCCAGGGGATACCCGGCGCTATGCCTCTTCAAAGTGTCCAGCCGTTTCCATTCAATGTCTCGCCGACTCCCCGTAGAATTAATGCCTTGCCTATTCAAATTGCAAGGACTCACAAAAATAGTTATAACAGCACACCAATGTCGTCGGAAGAATATCAGAGGAAATTGGACGAAGAGTTGGAAAAGGTTGATTTTGAGGATATTACTGTGAGCGAATTGAAAGACATGTTACGTCAAAGGGGTAAACCCGCAACTGGAAAGAAGGCAGTTTTGATGCAAAGGTTGCAAGAAGAAATGGATCATCTAAAGGCTAAACAAAATCAACAGCAACAAAATAAACAGAATCATCAAAATTCACAAAATCAACCGAATCAGCAGCAGCAGGCAGTCAAGCCTAAACCCCAACAGCTTGGCAACACTGGTAATATCAACTTGACTAATGGTCAATTTGGTCAAATGATTTCGTCCCCAACATCGCCGTCTGGCATATCACTTCAGCACAGCCTGGGTAATCTCCACATTTCTAGCCCGCCGGCTCATTCTCGACGCTACAGCCCGTACACCAGCGTTAGCATTCCGAACAGTCCTAGGATGCATCCGAACCGAGCGTCAGCTGGATTTAACGGTGGAAGCTTTCCATTTAACGAGGACTGGCAGTTCAACAATGCAGCTATCCCCAGTCCCGGTTTTGTAGGTCAAGCAAATACGCCAATGGATGAACAAGCTGTTTTCATGCTTATGATGGACAATCAACAAACATCGCCCCAACAAGACTATTTTGGTCCACAAGAGCCATCCTCCGCTCCCGCTACCACCACAGAATTCGATCCATATCAAACGCCATCTTCAGCACCTGCCACTACTACGGAATTTGAAGGATTTCAACAGTCTGCGCAATCTGCACAGACTGTAAACAGGGAATTTGTTGATCCTTTGTATATGAATATGGATGTACCCATTGGTATGATGGATGTTAATTATAATGATGATAGAATTTTCTACCAAAAATTTTACGGTCAATAAAATATTTTTTAGGCTTTTCAACACAACAAGTTTTATTCACCCTATGCAGTAAGAACCTGTCGCTAGTGTAATTTATGTTATCGAAGCGCGAATCTATAACGCACTTTGTGACAGTGGGACGGCATTTGAGCGTTCGTTACACTAACGATTCGGATGCTGTATAGCTTAGAGATCAAAAGTAGAACAGTTTCAGCGAGTAAAAAAAAAAAAGATTAGTTAACAAAGAAGAAAGAATTAGTCAAACAAAAACCAAGGGGGGGGGTGTGAAATAAAATAGTGGTAAAAAATAACGAGATAATATATTTTATTTATAAAAAATAAAAATAAACCTAACTATCATGAAATCTTATTATATAGTGAGAAAGGCAGCTCCTTTTCTTGCATCTAATTATTACAGTACTGAAACCCACAATAAATAATTATTAAAAATGTTAATGTCTGTTGTAACAAACTGGGTGAGGCTCATGTTGGCAGTGAATTATCCTAATAAAACGTGATATTTTATCTGCCTTGATTTTTGAAGATTGTTGTTACTGAGAGCTTTTGCTCTAATTAACAGCATCATTGAGTCTTCCTGAACACGTTTTTTTTGTTCGTTTACCATCCAACTGTCATTAGTAAGGTGCATCATTCTCATTCCGACAGCTCATTTCTCCCAACAATTATTCCCCGGGGAAAATAACCAACCCGTTAATGTTTGTCAAATTTTGCTCAGGGAAATGAGCTGTCGGGAAAACGAATGGCTCCTCCAGTGAATAATAAATAAGCACGCCGCCTTTCATAGTAATAAGCAAAAGTGTATTGTAATTTGAAATAAAAATTTATAAACCACACTTGCCTTATGTAATAAACTATTTGTGAGGGGTAGATTATGCTGCTAATAGCGAAGGTGTTTCTTCACGAGAGGTATAGAATTTATTTACCAAATATGATCAAGCAAAAGACTTGAAAAATATGGTTTGAATGATAGACTTTTATCCATGGAAATAAAATCGACACAAGCAAGTTCTGTTAATAGAGCGAGGAATTATCATATTTCTTCTATCCGATAAATATAATTATCAAGTTTCTGATAACGGGTAATATTTGTTGGTGTCGCATTATTTATTGATCATCTCATCACATGATGTGTTATTACTGATTCAGGACAAAGACGTTGCTTCAAATTTTTCTGCGTTTTCACGATGTCTTAGTAATACCACTACAATGTTCAATCTTTTCCTGAATTTAGCAAACACCAGGGCAGAAATTTGAAAGTTATTTATGGTTGCGAAATGGAGATGCTGGAGGATGACCTTCCTCCTGGCAAATTTATCGAATCTTGCTGGTCAGCATCGGTCTGATTATGCATTTTGCGGAACGTGGAGTATGCATGTATCAACAAGCCTCACCCATAGACTGAACACTTTTTTACCTGTTGCCATCTTGCAATAATTCGATAAAATAAAATAAAAATAACATAAAATTTCCCCGTCAATCTAATGATGATAATAATTACTTTCTTTATCCGATGAAACCCGTAGAGTTTGTGTAATACAACTGTACGTTGTTGATTCAACTATATTCTCATCGGCTCGTATCCATAATATCTCGATCCACGCACAGCCCATCGCCTGGTTTGTTGCATAGACCCCTGGTTAGTTGGATAACTGTCACACAAGTATAAACACGTAAGCAGCGTTTTGTTATTTTTAGGTCTTTGACAGAATGATTGGGTCCTATTCCTATACTGAAAAAGGGCAAAACTCACTGAATATGGGATATTTCTCCGTTCAAACAGCACGACTTGTGGTGAAAATCAAGAGGCTGATGAATGATACTAATTTGGAGAAACAGGTGATATCGATATCAGGAGTTTTTTTCCTCTAATAAATGATTTACCATAACAGGATGTCATTATGTAATGTGGGTTGTGATAACAACTTTGATAAGAAATGCATTTTGACACATAGAATTTGTACACGCAAAGACGCCTTTCGACGGAAACGACACTCCCGACTTAAACTAGCATTAATGCTCATTAGTTTTCATTACCTGTTCTCGGTAATCCAATAACAAAATTGCCGAGTTAGTCTCGTAATTTTGAGACAATATCAAAAGTTATGCATTTCATTGGCATGTTGATATCTTTCTGTTATTATTATTATTGCAATACTGGCAAAGCCATGGCTTGAAGAAGTGCGGGATTCATATTTGGATGCGATAAGAAATATGTTTGCATGGCAACCAACCATTTTGGGTATGTTGGACAGTACAAAGTCTGCTTCTTTTTATAAGGTTTTCTTTGGTTGGTTGTTTCGTTTGCAAACGCTCAAGCCTTTCTAGTTGTGAGAAAAAAAACCTTGCCACAAATCCCGCTTCTAACAAGTAAAATTAGCGCACTCGAATAACTTAATTCACGTGTAACAAATAAACGGTTATTATCACAATGAAATCAGTAGAACGTTTCAAAAGTCATCCCAGGAAAATTCACCAAACTAGTCTTTAATAGTCAGTTCGCTCACTTCATTGTGAATAAGCTTTGCAATATGTTGTCAATCAAATTTATCAAGATTGAGATGCGCTATATTACAAATGTTATTAATATGGAAGACAAAGTCCTAAATCGGTCGCATTTTTTTTCGAGGCTTTTATTTTTGCAATTTGATGGTGTACAAGTTTAAGTTTCTTGATGGATTTTTCGTCAGTTAACGAATCTCTCTTTTTTTTTGAAACCTGTGCTGGATTGAATGTTTGCCCATTCGGACCGTTGACCCAGGTCATTAAACGCTTATCCGGTACAATACAAAATACGAACATTAATATTTGATATTAACTTTAATATTAATATGGAGGTATTATTTGGAATTGTTTAAACAATACACCGAGCGGGTGAATGTCTGCAGTATCACCGTCAAAGTGAGATTTAATTAATGAAAACAAAAGAGAGAGAGACAGGTAAAATAGACTCTTCTTTAGTTACAAGGTGATATTTTAGTGTGCATTATGGAGGTGACACACTACGTAATAATAGCAACACATTCCCATTATTACATAGCTGATACAGTTATAATGCCTTTATTGTTGGGCCGAAGGAGCATAATTTTTCCACCGGGAAAAAAAGGGATGATACAATATTAACCAATGAAGCAGATTGCATTTGACAAGAAAAAAAAAGGGCTATTATTATTATGTATGCATTTATAAGCATGTGTACTTGAAAAATTCATCATTAGATGTAACAATGATATTCCATTCCTATTTCTTGTATTACCATCCTTGACTATATCATGTTGCCCCTCTCTTCCACCAAAGAACTTTGTCGTCAGTCTGCCTTGTCCCACGGAGAAAGAAAATACTAACGACTGTAACAGCGATAACGGAAAGAGCGAGGTTGCCGACCATCTTCAATTAAGGATAAAAAGACCTGTTTCCTCCGATGCTGTCGAATCATTAGCCAAAAATATTTATAACGTTTAGTGTAAATTTAGTTAATACATTACGTACTTGTTGTAATATCCCATTTCTTATCCGCTACTCTTTATACAAAAGGCAAGACAGAGTGCAAACACCCCTCTATAATTATAATTTTCTATCCTCTTGTGTACTTGCGTATTATGCCCGCTAAAATAACACTGCATAGTCCAACGCCTTCCCTGGCTCCTCTTCTTCTTCCTTCCTCACCAACCGACTCGGTCATAGACCTTCCTCTTTCACCACCACCACATAAACGTCGCAATAGTTTACCAGTTCCCCATGCGTCCATACTCTCCCGCATACTATTTCTTCTTACTTGTGCGGCTGTCACACTCTTTGGAATTGTGTTGTTATTACGAACAATACCCAACTTGTCACTTCCTATAACAATAGAACAAGTAAAGATACAAGCAGAAGTGTTGGAGGAATATTCAAATGGGAGTTGGAAAGGATGGACTCATATAGTGTTTGTGTTGAGCGTTATCTACGTATGGAAGCAGGCCTTCTCAGTGCCGGGTGCCATATTTTTGGTATGTTGACAAGGTGAAATTTGGGGGGTTTATGTAAACTGGCGTAAATCAGCTCGGTAAAATTAACGCACGTCTTTTAAAATTTCAAATCAGAACATTCTCGCTGGAGCACTGTACGGCCCAGTTGTTGCAACTCTCTTGACTTCCATTTTAACTGGAATCGGCGCATCTTTTGCGTACTTTATTGGTAAATTCGTCGGTCAGCCTATCTTTGAGCAACATTTTCCGGATAAACTCGTCTATCTCCGTAAGCAAGTAGAGGAAAACAATGACGGGCTATTTTATTATTTGGTATTCATAAGGATGTTTCCTCTGTCGCCTTGGTGGTGAGTGCTCTTAAGGGGAGGAGGAGATGGTGAGAGCGAGCTGTTTCGTGGGATATTGGTTGTCACTATAAATTGTGCGGTATGCAAATCGATAAAGCAAAAATGCGTGATATTATTAATCACGTGCAAATTCACAATAATTAAACCGTTTCTCTTCTCTATTTCAATTCAGGCTTCTTAATCTCGCCTCACCTCTACTTTGCATTCCTCTGGGACCATTTTTCTTCTCAATGGTCTTCGGATCAATCCCATACAACCTTGCATGCTGTCAAGCGGGTGATATTCTCCAAGAACTTAGTTCCACGGCTGACATATGGCAACCAATTTTACTGTTGAAAATGTTATTGGTGTCAATATTGAGTTTGGTTCCGCCATTTTTGACAAGGCGGCTCAAGCGATGGAACGAAGAGCGCGTTGCAAGGGGCGTAATGGTCTCGGAAATGACAAGCGTATGATTTAATGTATTTCTAATATTAGACTGGATAATCAAAGCGTCGAACAATAATCAAGAAGAGAAAAAAAAAAGAGGAGCAGTATGAAAATTGTGTTAATAATGTGTGTAATTTTAGTTAATGGACTATTATCCAAATTGGACTTTTTTTGTTAATCACTCTACAGATATGTTGAAGAAGCAGTCGATGTAAAAAAAATATAATAGAAATCGACTGTGAAAAAGTCTATGATATATGAATTGTAACAGTAATAAACCAGTAACACTATTTTAATAACAAATGTCCGAGTTTTACCTGTACGATAACTTGATCACTAACAGTCGGTTTTAACAGCATTGACGATTTTACGAGAAAGTCAAAAACTTTACTCGTCGTCACGTGTATGCATAATACACAGCACAGCGTTTTCAATAGCACACTTATATCCTGGGATCGCGTAAAAGTAAATCATCTACGGGCGCCATTATGACTTGTCTTAAAATTTTGCCCGGAAAATATTGCTATAAAAAATTCAATATTACAAGGTTAAACAAGTTGCGATAGGCTGAACCGTTCAAACAACTTTATCGCGAGGAACTTTTATCACAACGAGGTGCTATCTTTAGTAGAACTTTTAAGGTGCTCAGCTGTCATTCATCAAGAATGTGTCACGTTAATGATTACGTCACCAAAAAATGACAGTAAATCCCAAAGCGAACCTAACTGAATCGATTAATGTTTATTATTTCCCATTTCGTTGCCTCTTACTGTAAACATGTCTCTATATGGGGACTTGCCACCTCCCACCCACACTACTACCTCGAGCGGTCCCTCCGATGAGGACCAGCAGAAACAGTCTGTCTCAGACATACAGTCAGCAAATCCGAAGACTAAACAATCCGCCCTCCCAGGTACAAGCTGTCCTGGAAAAAAAAAGTGCTTAATATGAGACGACAAGAGTGGCTCGGATTTATGATAAGTTGTTAAAAAGCTCAGTCAAAAGCAAAAAGATTACGTCAACTTACTTCTGTCATATTTCGCCTGAATGAAAAAAAAAAAAAAAAAACAAACTGTTGGTTATTGGAACTCTATTATTCAGCCGGATGGGCGTCTGCGTCGCTTCGTTTCATGCCTCAGCGAAAACCTGTGGTGCAAGCAAAACCACGACTTGTTCCTAGAGTCACAGCTACCGCCTCCTCCACCACTGTCGCCAACTCTGTCACTACTGCTGAAAGTAAAGTCTCGACGACCATAGTTAGTAGCACTTTAGCTACACAAGCAAAGCAGCCTAGTACTTCGGAGGATGTGAACGAGTATAAACAAGCTTGGGCAAATCCTCGCGTTCAGCGGACCAGTTTTGATAAAGTGAGTTTTTATTCAACGTGCTTTTCCGCAAACCCTAAAAGAAAAACCATGTCGTCTCGCGCAATTTAAAAAAAGAACCAACACGCTGAACTTCGTTAAAGAAAAAGGCTAGTAAAGGCGTAAAGAAGCAAACATCTTTGCGCATGGAAGATGATTATGATCCTACGCGACCGAACGATTACGAGGAATATAAGGAACTTGAAAAGCGACGTCGTGAAGAAGAATTGAATCGGCGTCATGTAGAAAGAAAGCGTCATCAGTCTAATAGTCCCGGGAGTGACAAACATTCTCCGTCAAGTAAATATGTAGTTATTGGGGGGTTTTAAACGTTACTATGTCTTTTAAAGGTACTGAAATTATTTACATATGTATATATGTTTTTCAGGTCACTTTGCACCACCTTCATCGTATTTGGATTCACCGCCGTCATCAAAAGCCAGCGAGTTGGCCGAGGATACGAGTGCGTTACGTCTCGCACCGGCTAAAATTGACCTTGACATTTCCGGTGAAGAAGCTTATTTGCGTCGCGCGCGTTTGAGTAACAAGTCAGCAGTGTCTGAAAATACTCCAAAGTAACTATAGTTGGTTCATTAATTAGTGTAGTGGTTTTATTGTTAATTAACGTTGATTGCTTTTTAGGACACAGCCAGAGGTGCGTGCTGCTGGTCTTGGTCCTGGCGAAGAGTTTGCTCAGCGGATGCTTGCCAAGTATGGCTGGCAGGAGGGACAAGGTTAGAAAAGACGAGCTTTTCATCCAGCTGGCATGTACACGAATGCTTATAGTATTTGATGAATTACAGGCCTTGGAAAGAGTGAGCAGGGTATTAGCGAGCCTTTAATAGTACAAAAGACAGATGCTAGAACCGCCATAATATCAAATGTATCAACAAATTCAACAGGTATTGATTTCCTTGTTATCATTGTTAATTCTGAATTCCGTTCTAACATTACAACATATTCTCTAAGCACGGTTTAGCGATTCGTTGGCTACGAAGGCGAATACTGTAGATCGTACCAATTCACCGCCTGATACAGAAACGATGTCTAGAGTTGTATTACTGACAAATATGGTACTTAGCCATAAAATGGTTTTTGCTTTGCGGAGGCAAAAGTGGATAGAAAGAGCGCGATACTGATTAATATTTATTGTAGGTTGGTCCGGGTGAAGTAGATGATATGCTGCAAGAAGAGACAGCCGATGAATGTAATGAGAAATACGGAACTGTCGAACGTTGCCTGATTTTTGAGGTAAATTTGGAGTTGTTTACGAGTAGACTTTTTATTACCACATTTTTAACAACTGGGGATATATATATTTTTTAACAAGGTACCAAATGGTCAACTTTCTGATGATGAGGCTGTGAGAATTTTTGTGAAATTTGTCGGCCAAGAGGCCGCCATCAAAGCTAAGCGTGATCTAAATGGTCGGTTTTTTGGTGGCCGGGCGGTTACCGCAAGATTTTTTGACGAGGGGCGGTTTGATAGATTGGATTTGGCTCCTTCTCCTTCTGAACTTCAAAGAGCCAAGAAAAAGGATCACGGAGTTGGATAATATAAAAGCTAATGATTATCATACTATATCGCCACATAATATGTGTTTAAGGGGATAGGAGAGGAACTCGTGTTGGGAGGGGATTTGTTGTAGTTGTGACAGAGGAAAAGTGTTTTATTACGTGTAATTTTATTACATTGCCTCTAATTCAGACAATATGATAATGATACCAATCAGGACAAATTTTGTATACCTCGCTTTTGTAGATGAATTTCATATTTGGAATGCGCCGTTGGAACGTTGATGTTTTCCCAACATAGGAAATAGAATTTGTGACCATGAAACGTATTTAAGCTCATCGATAACTCTGAGTGTTTGAAGCAATGATTGGAATTGGCAGCTGGTAAAATGTGTGTTACATCTACTACTACTAATACTAATACTATTACTATGCTGTACATCCTCACCATGATGCAAAGTATGATTGTTGATTATCATCAACCTCAGGGAAATCATTCTTTTATAAATCTCATGATTTTTGCTGCATGCACAATGCACAATGCATAACGGAGCTTGAGAATAACATGACTCAAAAGTATCTTGACCTGTTTGATCATCCAATCTTTGACACTTTTGGACTAAGGTGAAACTGCTTGTGGAAATGCTTCACCAAATATGAGTCAAACACTACTGAGTTTACATTTCTCTCTTTATAACTTGCTTTAGTATACGACTAACTGCTATTGTCTTTCAGGAATTATATCTGTGACAGTGCCAATAGTAAATTTCTCAGTCATTATGACCAGCAATTTTGTCCATCTAAACACACGCATTTAGATCGAACAGAAAATGTTGAGAGTATGGGCCATAAAATTATTCTCGATCCCAAATTATATTCCGAGTTAAAGTTCATTGAGCAATGTTGGGGCGCTGCTAAACGATATACACGGCAACATTGCAATTACGCTTGTAACAGTTAAGGAAACTCTTCCATCTGCGTTGAATTCTATTTCTCTACAGGCAACACGAAAATATGCACTAAGATCTAAACGATTTATGGATTGTTATAAGGATTGGAGGTACGACAGGCAGAATTTGCCTGAAACGATTTTTATTTCTTCTTTGAAGCTGCGACGATAGCACGTTTCCCTTGTCCTGAAAAAATAAAGACATTTCGAGTTTAGATATTAATATCTAAAATTTCTGCCAGGTCCTAAAATTCTGCCAACTTACCTTTCTTCGGCGCACCCTTTCCCCTCCGTTTCCTTCTAGCAATATCATCCAACCTACGCTGCTCGCCTTGATCGACCAAGTCAAAATCTGGAAACATATTACTTATTTCCTTCAGTTTGATCATTTTCGCCGGATACCAATTGACTATACTTGGACCAATAAGACGCTGTTTTAAGATTTTGTTGCCAGTACGTGCCGAAGTCGGATTGTAGACTGTGTTAAAAAGGGAGCAGGTCAACTCTTGAAGTTTGAGCAGGCGAGGTTTTGGAAGTAATGCCATTTTAAATATGCAATTGGGATAGCTAGGTCTTTTTATAAACTTGAAATTTTGCACCGAAATTTTGAAAACACGTGATCATACCCGACATAGTCAAAGCTTATAGCGTCCATACCACTCTGTGAAGACTCTCAAGATACAATGAGTAGCCAGTTTAGATAGAAACATAATCTGGGAAACGGAACAACATTTCTACACCCTGGAAATAATCATCCATTGATTTATAAAGAGAATATTGAACTTGGAACCAGAAATAAAAATAAATCATTTTTGTGTCTCTTTATTAAAACTTTAAAGTTTCCTTTCACCAATGATACAAACCTCCCCCTGAAAAATTTTATTTCGTATATTGTTGGAATGTTTTTGTTTAGACGACTTTACGTCACTTTATCATCAGCCTACCGTATCTCTTATCAGAGACCATGTCTAACGCGAAGGGTAAGAATAGAATACGTTGTATATGATCGATTGCTACCACTAGGAAAAGTAATGTTGCTCTAACTATTCACGATTTTTTAGTGCAACTATTCCTCGCAAAGTTCTTCAGAGAGCTCTTTTACTCCATCGATATTCTCTGGGATTCAACCAACCGGCATGCCTCATATTGGAAACTATCTCGGCACGCTTAAACAGTGGGTTGCGTTGCAGAAAGATGTGTCCGCATCAGATAGGATCCTGTATTGCATAGTTGATTTACATGCATTGACAATTCCCCAAGATCCCGTCAAATTGTTTCATAACAAGAGAGAGATGGCGTTAATATTAATGGCATGTGGAATTGACCCCCAAAAAAGTGTGATCTTTGTGCAGTCAAAGGTAAGTGCCAGGAAATGTCGCTAGCCGAGTAATCGGTACAAGTATATCAAAAAAGTTTTATTTTCGAAAAGGTCACGGCACATACAGAATTATCTTGGATTTTGAATTGTATTGCTCCAGTCGGTCAGCTATCAAGGATGACTCAATGGAAGGTAGTCCAAAGCCATTTGCGTCATCTGATTGTCTATACCGAGCTGACGATGCTCCTCATGCACGTAGGCAAAAATCGCTCAGTATAAGAATGTACAATCGATAGAAGACATAGGCGTATCGTCTGGATTGTGCCTAGGACTATTAGCGTACCCTATACTACAAGCGGCTGACGTGTTACTGTATAAGTAAGTATATATCATTAGTGATGATTGCGGGCAACCGTTCGAAAGTTGGAAAAACCACCGTATCTATCACAGAGCAACACAAGTTCCGGTTGGGGATGACCAGGTCCAGCACATAGAACTGGCAAGAGACATTGCGCACAAGTTCAACAGTCAATTTGGAGAAATATTTCCGCTACCGCAATTTCTATTCAGTAAGTGAGATGATTAGTACTTTATATTCTTGTACCGTTCGATATGCCCACCAGATTGACACGAAATTTATATATTGTGATTGGAATGCTCTTGCGGAAATTCTCATGACAAAAGCACCTGCAAAAAGGATACTGTCGCTTCGTCATCCAACACAAAAAATGTCTAAATCGGATCCGTCAGACTCTGCTCGTATTAATTTGAATGACCCTCCTACTTTGATCGCGTCTAAAATCAAAAAAAGTACAACCGATTCCATCAGAGGGATCACTTACGACCCAGAATCACGCCCTGCAGTATCCAATTTGGTGACCATATACTCGGCAGTCACCAACTTGCCAGTCGAGCAAGTAGTCGAAGAGTATAAAAACAGTGACATAAGTACGTTCAAGACGGTCGTAACGGATGCACTAATCCACGAGCTTTATCCGATACAAAACACATACGAGAAACTAAAGAACGAGAAGAATTATGTCGAGCAAGTGCTAGAGCAAGGTGTCCACCGGGCTAATGAAATTGCCCAGGGTACCATGGAGCAGGTGTATAAGATAATTGGGCTAGGCTAAATTTACATAAAACATCAAATAACTTTTCTGCTATTCACACGTGAATGAACTACAGGAAATGTCGCCAATCATTCTGGCTTGGCTTTCCGTACTGTAATCGTTGCGTCGATTGTCAGATAACTTTAGAATTCCATCTGATCAGCCCAAATTGAGCGTAAAGCTTAAAAAAAGTGGTCATGGTATCTACTCGTAAATGCTGCCTCAATTTTTCTACGAACGTAACTAAAGTTGTTAGAGAAAAACTTGTTTAGGCTTTTTGACATTGTCCTGGATAAATCCACAAGGTTTAAAGCAACCTCCTTTTCCCCGCAAATCAACGACTATCATTACTAATTTTTTCGCCGCGTCCGAAGTTTCAAAACCAGCGGTTGCGCATAGGATGACGTAATCGATAATTCTATTGGTTAGGAGTTTGACGTCGAAAAATTGATGAATTATTTATAAACTGATATTCCAACCTGCACTTTAATACTTCTCATAGGAGAGGTTCTTTTGAAGACTCTTAGTATGCGAGTTATAAGAACAGAATGACTGCATCGCATTGTCCCGGAATAGAGGCAAGCTTTCTAGACTTGCATGCAAAGCCTTCGACTAACAATGTGCAAATCAGTTTAGACTGACTTTTTCCCCTCTATTCAACCTTTGCCGGATATTGAAAATTCAACAGGTTTTAATAGTCATTGATTTCGAGGCTACCTGCGACGAAAATCCAAACCCCCAGGCCTTGCAGGTTACCAAGGTATTTTTATCTAAGAAAGATTCTCTGTCGCATAACTGTCAGGGTACTCTTGTTTTGGGTTTCGGTACTGGGCGTGTTCTCGAACCGAATCCTGATTATCTTTTGTTCTGCTTTTTAACGAGAGGTTTTTGATGTATCTCTAACGAGAAAACATATGACTGGATTTTGCTTGTAAATCGCTTTCGCTTGTACAACAATTAGGAGACGGCAGAAATTATAGAGTTTGCTTGGGTTGTCGTCGATACTAGTACATTGGAAGTGGTTCGTATAAGTAATATGCTTACGTATATATGATACTATCTTATATCCTGTTGTTAGAACAAACCCGAGCTATAAAAAAATTAACTCGAAATTATGCATGCCGGATTGTGGCTGCGAATGAACGCGTATATGATGGATTTTTTTTTGTCTACGCGTTGACCTGGATGCTCATCCAAACGATTGTCCTATCTTGTAGGTGTATCAACATTCACAATATGTCAAACCGGAAAATACTACTTTGACACCGTTTTGCACGCAACTTACAAATATTACCTGGGATAAACTTGAGAATGCGGGAACTCTGAAAGATGCGATAATTGCTTTGGATAACTACATCCAGTCTTATATTGTTTCTCAAGGGAAAAACTTCTGCTTTTGTACACATGGGGCTTGGGATTTAAGGATTCAATTACCTCGAGAAGCACGTGACAAACACATAGAGCTGCCGTCATACCTAGCTCATTGTCGAATGTTCGACCTGAAACAAGAATATCAAAGATGGCAAGTACATCATCCAGATGTCGTATTAAAAAGCCAATCTTTGGGTGAGATGTGTTCAGTGTTTGATCTGCAAGTAGTGGGTCCACAGCACTCTGGGCTTAATGATTCTCTTACAATGGTCAACATTATCCGATATTTCTGCTCTTTCGGTCATCACGATGTCTTTGTAAACCCTATCGACACAAATGCAGATTTAAACCAATTTAAAAAAGAACAATCCAAGGTAATCCATTTGGCAGGTTTACCACACGATGTAACTCAGCATGAATTGGAGGCTTGGTTTTCGGGTCAAGGGGTCCGACCCACCACTTTATGGATGATTCGAACTCTGGACCAGCAGAAACCAAGCGGTACGGGGTTTGGGATTTTTGCAACTCATGAAGACGCTATGGCTTGCTTGGAAATGAATGGAAGAACGCTCGGGGATAGAGCGATCGAAGTAAGTCCAAGCAGCGAGCGTGTGATTGAGGTTGCTGGTACGATTTTGGCACCCTTTCCGGTAGGTTCTTGCGAGTAATATTGAAACATTCCAAAGTAGCAACTTTATACGTGTTTGAGTTTTAGATTGTAACAACTTTCAACCATTATTACCATAAGCTTAATTTAAGGATAGGAATACTGATAAGTTTTTATATTATGTACCTAAATTTTTGGATGATACGGGTTGTAGACGACAAAAAATCGTGTTCGTCCGGGTGATTGGGTTTGTCCTGCGTGTCAATTCCACAATTTCGCTTCACGTCGGAGTTGCTTTAAATGCAATATGATTAACCCCAATCCATCTGTGGTGCAAGCGACACCGCCAAATTTCACAATAGGTGACTGGATGTGTCCAAATCCCATGTGCAATTTTCATAATTATGCATCTCGAACACATTGTTTGAAGTGCTGCACTTATAAACCGCACAATATGTACACACATCCTTCGTCGAACGTACCGTTTCGCCCCGGTGATTGGATGTGTCCGAATCCCAGCTGTCTTTTCCAGAACTTTGCTTCCAGGACTCATTGTATGAAATGTGGTACGGCGAATATGGGATATGATGCTTATGGAAATCCAACTGGAGATCAAGGAGGATATGGAACGACGGGACATATGCCAACTGCACCAGCAGCAGCGCCGTTTCGACCGGGTGATTGGTATTGCCCGTCGTGCAACTCTCATAATTTCGCGTCACGGTTTCAGTGTCTTAGGTGCAATCTGTCGAAACCTCCACAAGTTGCGAGTAGCGCCGCCAATACCGCAAATATGAAACCTGGTGACTGGTTATGTCGGGGCGAAATGTGTGGATATCATAATTTTGCAAAGAGAACTCATTGTGCTAAATGCGGTATGCCCAATAGCAATGCCGAGAACGGATATTAAAGTTTGGGCATGCAAAAAGTGCACCACCAGACACTGCAAAAATGGTAGAGTGCGACACAAAAGTGGTGTTGGCCGATGCGGATGACCACGTGTTCCGCCAAGTGCACTCCGATCTCCCGGATACTATTTTAACCCCGTTAGAATAAAAGAGATTATGACTAACTTTTCTTATTACTTTCATTCCTTTTTTGTTTTGTTTGCATACTTTTCTTTTTTTGACGGGGTTTTGGAAAAGTCGATTGAAAATAAAAAAAATTCGAAAATTAATTAATTCCAATTTTCGGTATTTGTTGGCTATTATTAATAATAATAATAAGGGAAGTTCTCCCGATAGTTTCTCTATTACATATCCTGGGGGAAAAGTGTGATCTATTCAGTTGCTTTGGGTTATTTTTCTTTTACCGGTGACAGTTTGTGGTCGGAAAAGGAGTGACCTTGGCATCCTTGGTAACCTCACTCCATCACTTGAGTTAATCGGGCAAGAAAGTTGCAATAGTAAATTATATATAATCAATAAACAAAATAAATTATAGCGCACAGAAAGAACATGAGCACTGAATAAAAAAGGCGCACCCCACACTTTTAAACTCAGAGTTATGCAAATGCAAAAGAGAACACTAATTTTCTCTCTGGGAAAAGGTCATGCGCTAGTGAGAGATTAATTCTCGTGAAAGTCAATACCCAAACAGCCGTTTATGTCAAAGATGGCCCTTTCGAAAGGACTTTTAGTGCAGACAGAGGAATAGAACGGAGCAAAACAAGTTATGAGAGTTTTACAAATTTGTCAAGGAAAGAATCATAAGACTAACCTAAAACATGCATGCACTAATTGAAAATGCACTCTTTCTTTCCCGTTCTGTAGAACTACTACAATGCTTGAAAAAAGACCCAATTAATGGATTGATCTTACTCGTAATAGCAGGAAAGACCCATATTATAACCAAAATTGATTGATTTATTGTAGACGTGAATTGCGACATCAACTCGTCTCATCGTTTATCAATCGCGTCTGCACTTTCACAGTTGACTTGTCATTTTCATATGTGTCGCGAATATTTTTCAGGTGCCAACTAGTCCGCACTAGCCATCGCATGTAACTTTCACTATAGTAATCGGGGTTTATTTTAAAAAGAAAATGAGCATCGTATTAGATTGACAAAATTCTCAAAAGTGAGAAGGTCAGTGAAGAGTAAATATGGGAATTTTATGGAGGCTTGAAAGGAAACGCATTATGGCCAATGACTTAAACTTACAAGTCCAAAGCTGTTATTTTGAAAAATTGGATTTAAAGATGGAATTCTTGAATTATTTTACAAAAGGGTTGTACACTCTAAACCTTCTAATACTAATCAAAACGCAAGAGATATGAAAAATTAGAAAATTGGAATGGTCTTTTCAATGTCAGGCATGTTTTTTTGCTTGACATTAAAAATTTAGACAAACCCAATGAAAAGGAAACAAAGAGATGCTATAGTAAATAGTAATAGTAATAGATACTCACTTGAAAGCCTTGGGAATTTCCCCCAGTGGCAATTTCTCAATAACTCGGATTAAAGCATGTACGTATATTAATATATTCGGTGAATGCAGATTAATACAGCATCCTTAAAAATGTTCATTGCGCCCTATCTAAATTTGCTTGGAACTTGTATATTTCCAAACATCGAGTCTTGTTATTCGTTAGTATCATTATCATGTTATCTTAAGACCATTGGCTCTAAATCGTGACACAAATAGAACAGCCACTATATTGTGGGATGTTCATTCATTTTCCCAGAAACAAACCTATTTAATTCGGCTGGTGTCAGAATTGGCCAGATCTTTACGCGCGCCGTCACAGTTTCAATGCAATCACAGTGTACTATTCCTTTATCTCAGCAGGTGCGAATCTTTGTAAACAGATTGCTGCATAAAGGCTACGTGCTAACTTTGCACGATTGCTCACATTTTCGTTTAGTTCACCGCGGTGTTAGCAGAGACTTCTTTATTGTTACAGTCTTCAAAACTCCCTTCAGTCGTTACCCGTAATAAAAAACAGCCTGTTCCTTTAGTTTCTGCTACAAGAGCTGTAATCAAGGTAAATCTTGGGACCGAATCGTTTCTGATTCGATCCGATGCAGCTTCTAAACTTTTTATTCATTACACTCAAACCAGGAACTACCAGAGTGCATTCGCCAGGCGGAAAGGCTTTATTCGCTACCGTTTATATCCCTAAATGATGCAAAGGACTTATTGAAACGAAGTCCATCGTTACAGCACTGTAATGTTGAGGATATAATATCACGAGTATCAGGTATTCTTTACAGAGAAAAAATTTTTTCATTAAGATCCAGTTTCAGCGTATTGTATTTTTTTCGTTATTAAGTGACTTTAACCAACAAGTTTAATACTTTATAGGAAATTACTCGTCACTAGCACCAGTTTTTACAAAGCAAAGTTCATCAATATTTAGGAACACGTCACGGCTACGACTTTTCGTAAATAATAATGAAAACGGTTACTATCTAATGTGATTTTACAATGCTATTTGTTTTCTGATCACATAAGCTTATTATTTTTTTTCTCCGCCAGCATCGAATTTTAATCGAACTTTAGACCGAAGAGCTTACGTAACCAGTAATAGCGCATATCGAATTAGTAGTTATCGAAGACTGCCACAATTAGAGGCAGAAGCAAATGCGCATCCGAACGATGCCGCAAGACAAGCCGAATTTTACAAGGTAACGTCAACTCGTTTTCAACTCGATAATTGTACAATGACTGCTGATAGCAGTTTCACGAATATATTTTTGCGTATGTAGGAGTCATTGCGAGCAAACAATCCTCATGCAGTCATAAGCAGGTTTGAGCGTGGAAAGTATGCTGAAGATGAAGAATGCTTCCAAGCGTATGTGACTGCGCTGGCTCGAACAGATCAAGCTGACAAGATCCTACCAAAATTTATCCAGAAACTCGAGCGAGCGAATGCAGCTGGAGGTTAATATATTATATGTTCAAACGCCTTTTGATTAGTCTTGTAAATTTAACATTTATTATGTATATGTAAAACAGGCAATAAAACGATCTCAACGCCTGATTTAGTTCAGTCCATAGTTAATGGACAAGGAAAGAAGATTACAGTAAGTAACGGCGTTACCTCTACCACATCTGGTGCTAAAGACAATCCGATATATGTAGTCGTTGAAGAAGGTTGGTGAATTTCCTTCTCGTCAGAGTATATTCACTCTTTATCTCTGAATGTCTAACATAAAGCTAACGTATACTAGCCCGCGGATATATGTTTTGGCGCGCACTCCGGTGGATGGGCATTACATTCACGTACGCTTTCTGCATCCTTACTTTCCTGAGCCTTGCTCTCGAGAACTCCGGCTTATTGAAAACAGGCGCATCCCAATCAGAATACGAGCCATCTTCTCAGCAGGTGGTCAAATTCTCTGATGTTCATGGTGTTGACGAGGCGAAAGAGGAACTCGAAGAACTGGTTGAGTTTCTAAAAGACCCTTCAAAATTTACCCATTTGGGTGGAAGATTGCCAAAGGGTGTGTTGCTGACAGGACCACCTGGTACGGGAAAGACACTGCTTGCAAGAGCAGTTGCTGGAGAAGCCGGAGTTCCGTTCTTCTTCATGTCTGGGTCAGAGTTTGATGAAATGTATGTCGGTGTCGGCGCTCGGCGAGTTCGTGAACTGTTTGGTAAGTCCATATGAATATGCAAAAGGGATACATACGCATGATGGGATGAAAATATAATCTAACGTTTATTGTAATAGCCGCTGCGAAGCGAAAGGCACCCAGTATAGTCTTTATTGATGAGCTAGATGCCATAGGCTCAAAGCGAAACCCTAAAGACCAGATATACATGAAACAAACTTTAAATCAACTTTTGGTGGATCTGGATGGATTTTCACAAACGGAAGGTGTAATCTTTATTGCAGCGACGAACTTTCCCGAATTACTCGATAAAGCTCTCGTTCGACCGGGACGTTTTGACAGACATGTTGCGGTACCTTTACCTGACGTGCGAGGACGTATGCAGATAATAAGACATCATTTGAAGAACGTGCAAGTTGGAAGTGGTATGCGATAGGACTGCCTACAGTCTTGTGTGATTGCAATGAAAACCAATAATACATTTATTTGCTGCTAATTTTA